TTTGTTTCGGACAATAGTTTTCAGGCCTTATAGGATGCAAGGCATTAGCATGAGCTGCATTGACGTCGATGATGTCTAATCTCTATTATTATTAGTTCTTGATGACGAAAAGTTGTAATTATGTTTTAGAAACAGTTATACATCCTTCGTTATTAGCTCTTAATGAATTATGCGTCTGTATGTATATAGGATCTTGTTTTTCCATGTAGATAAAAGATCCGTGGTATAGGTAAGATTTATATATCATATCTATCGGAAGCTTTTGTACATGTTTCTTGTAGCCTATAGGGAATTTGAACTAGTCCCTTCATCCTTGTGAGGAATTGGCTAAGAGTTTAACTACTTTCTCGAGTTGTATTTGCTATTGAATTACATTCTCTAATCTTTCTATATTTGAAAAGATTTGTAGGATCTTAAATACCACACTAAAACCATTCCCTTCGGCCGTCTCTACTCCATTCCCTCCTACGAAGATATATTTTCTACCTTAATTTTAAGGGTCTTTTTTGGTATGGTATTTCTATTAGTATTTAAATGTTTTTAAATATCACATCACATCAAAATTATATTAGAATAAAAACATAGACGGAACAAACAAAACTTGATAAAGAGACGACATTTCATAAGTACAATAAGTAATTTATCATACTAACCAAATAATTGTCTAAATTTGAATTGAAATATCTAATATTTACACGAAAATTCCAGAATCAAAATTCATATTTACTCTTTCATCTTCTTCTCCCTAGCAAGTCATGAACTTTGATTATAAAAGATAACCTAATAGGTAACCATGACCTCCACTCCACTCATTAAGAACCATTAATCTCAGTTGTGCTTGGGATGCTTCACAATCACCACCGGACACTTGACGTGCTTGGCACAGTAGTCACTCACGCTTCCAAGAAGAGTCCTGCAATTTTACATGAAAAAAAAAAAAAAAAATTTCAAACGGTTAAGACCTTCTACAGAGATTAAGCATCACCATATAGACTATATAGTCCAACTGAGAAAGAAAACTTCCTTAAAAAAAAAAAAATGGAATGAGTAAGACTTATAATTGGCACCTCTTCAAGAAACCATAACCATGGCTTCCCATGACCAAGGTATCAGCATTAAGCTTGTCAACCGTGTGACAAATCACATCCTTGGCATCTCCACTACCAACTTTTTTCTCAATGTTCATCTGCAAAAAGGCAGTGGTTTAAACACCCACCACGTGAAATCTCGATGTGAAATCGAGAATCAGAAAAGTCGAAAACAAACGTGCAATAATAGTTTCTTACATTGGTACCGAAGTTTCTAAAGACAGCTTCGGCTCTTTCCATCACAGAATGTACCATGTCATCGCAGTATTTCTCCATCGATCCAATGACATCTCCAGAAAACAAGTATCCTGCAAAAAGAAAGCACACCCTTTTCCTAATTAGACAGTAGAATTTAGAAAACTTGCTTTAAAACCCATCAAGCATTTGACTCTAAAGAATTATTTTTAAAAATAATAAAAACTACCGGTATTGCATAACTCAGACCATTAACTCATATTAACACAGAAAAAAAAAAGTATGCAAATTTAACCAAGTAAGGTATTGTTTCTAATACCCTTACCAAAAAAATTTGCTCATAAAACTTGTAACTTCAAACATCACAAAATTTCTTTCTTTATTTATTGAATAATTAGCACAGTAATGAAGCTGAAGTTAAAAAATACAGCAGTTGAACTAAAAATTAGTACAAATCCAAACCTGCAGCATCAAAAGAGGAGTAGACAGGAAGTGGTGGTTTCACATAGAGAAGGACAAGAGTGGTGTTGTTGGCGGCGGCGGCGGCGGCGGCGGCGGCGTTTCGAGAAAGAAGATTGCTTAGACACCATGAGAGTGCGTACATGCTCTCCTCACTCTCATCCACAGCCACCACGATCTTACTTTCTCCCTTCATCTTCTCTCCTTTCAAGCCTTTTATCTACAACTAACAAAACAACTAAAACTACACAAGCTCTCAGAAATTGCTTAGCCTTAAGCTGTAGATAACAAAGCGAAATCGAAATGAAGCTAAATTTATAGGTGGTAGTTGGGTGCGGTTTTGGCTTAGCTACTAGTTTTCAGTTTTGAGGCATGGAATTTATATTGAATTGTATGTAAACGATCCTAGTTTTTGGAAATAAAACCATTGGCCGAGTAACTCATTGGCCAATAAGGATTTAGCAAATAGCAAAAGGAAACCAATTAGAATTGGCCAGGCTGCTTTGAGACAATTCTATTGCTTGAGCAAAAGCCTTCATTCTCAAGTGTGCCTTATGGTCAACATCTTAATTTGGCCAGTATTGGCAAATATCTTGCTTGCTTGCTAAGTGAAAATTTGAACTTCCAAAATTCAGCCCACCAAACGGGTCACAATCATGAGGCTAATCCAGTTATCCACTTTGTATAAGAGATATTTTAAGGCTGCTCTTTTGTTTCTATTTTCACAAAATATATATATATATATATATATATATGTTCCTAAGAGAAACGCTAATGAGAAATTATCTTCATTTCCTTGACATTAGATTGATTTTTAGTTAAGACCTAAGTTGGCTCAATAATTTAGTTGGATTCCTTGATATGTCTTTTAAAGGAGATAAGGAGATAAATATATTTTAAGAGTACATGGATCATGATTTCTACTATTTATTCTTGATTAATAATTTTTTTAGTCAAATAATTATACTAATAAAAGGATATTATTAGGGTAAAAATTCATACTCATGTACTATCAATGATAAATTCTGTAATTTTCTCTCTTTTAAAAAAAAAAAAAAAATTATTATGAGATTGGAGTTAAGATTCTTACTCCACAATTTCCATCATGGGCCACACAAATGTAGCAAAATCTAGAGGCGTCATGTTTGACGCAAGAAAAAGGGCAAAAATAATTGAAACGCGTCCTTTTACAAGTCCAAACTCCAAATGGATTGATGTTAGCTAAGCAAGTTGGCTTTCGTTATTTATTGTGTAATAATAGTTTGGAGAAAACCAACCTTATAAAAATTCCTGATCCATTGAACCAATGGCTATTAAATTATCTTCCTTGGAAAAGCCTCAGCTAGAAAAGGTAAAGAGGATATCTCGATAATGACCGGTAGTTTTGGAGGGACATTCCGTTCTGGTGTCCAAGAAGAAGATTTAGGAAATCCAACGAAAAATCCATATTTTCTCTTTAGGTGAACTTTATTTCTATTTGTATAAGATCTATTTGCAATGAAAGGTTTTGATATTTCTATTGCAAGAAAGTGACAAGTAAAAATCGTCCTCCTAATATATATGTCATTTTTCATGCTTAAGTGTTATTCTTCAATATCTTTGAAACTTCTTTCATTGTTAAGTATGGTCTTTAGTGTTAATTTTCAGTGTGATAAGTCGTTCGTACTATTGTGGGGTTATATTTTTCTCATGTTGCAAAGAGAAAAACAAAGAACGAAACTCTCATTGAAACAAATTCTAAATCTGCCCCCCTAATTCTTTTTTTTGGCTTTGTTCCTTTTTATTTTTGTTTTTGTTTTTTCCTTTAGAATTTTTCCATCAAAATCTAATACATAAGAGGAGAAAGAAGGGGGAACTTTGTATAGATGTAAGTAATAAACTAAATATTTATGCCACTTAATAGAAGATCATTTCTCTAAATCTCCCGACTTCATTAGTTGGCGCAGCGCCGCCTTTTCTCAACCGAATCGATTCTTGCACTTCAAAAATCTCTCGTAAAATCCATCACTTTTATTAGATAAATATATTGACTATTTTGCTATTTAGTAGTTAGTGATTTTTTTTTTTTTTTTTTTTCCTTTCGAGCATCTAACTATCATGGGAGAATACTGATGGTCAGCGAGTGGCAGTAGTATCTTATGTATATTTTAGAGCATAAATCATTTCAAAGCATGAATATTAACTTGTAACAAAGGGGCTTTTTTTATTCTCTTTCATTTAAAAGAAGATGATTTTTGTATTGTACGTATTTGGTATTTTCATAGCATGATATATCTTAGAATGTAATTATTTATTCTTAAAATATGGGAGAAAGAGAGAAATAGGCCAAGACTTGAGATGAATTAAAATTAATAGGCCAATAGTTTACATAAGTTAATAAATAGGCCAAATTACTGTTTTCATCCATAACTTGTCTGGTTATGAACCATAACTTGACAAGTTATTGTCTATAATTGTTCATAACTTGTCTGGCTATGAACCATAACTTGATAAGTTTATCCATAACTTATCTGGTTATGAACCATAACTTGACAAATTATGACCTATTAATTTTTATAACTAAAAATTAGCCTATATACTTTCTTAAGCTTTTCATATTAACCTATTTTCTACTATTTTCCTTAAAATATTTTTAAAAAATTATATTTTAATTTAACGTTTTTGACGAACTTTGTTAGGATTGGGAAACCAAAATTTAAGCCCATGCTTAGTGATGGTCAAATATCTCAGTTGGTAAGCCGTTGTTTACAAGTGGGCCTTGGCCCGTAGTCCATCCAAGTCAGGGGCGGGCGGCCTTAACTGAAAGGAGGTCAGTGCTGGGGCTAACACGAACCTTTTCTTAGGCGATTCGCAAGAAACAAACAATATAATAATAATAAAACAAAACAAAATAAGAAATAAGAAATAAATGAATGAGAAGCAAGTTTGATCCGTGGTCCAAGTTAATATTATACGGCGTACTATAATTCACTTTTAACTTGAACTTTCAATAATTATTTTAACGCACTTGGCTTTGGATCAATAATAAAATCATTACACCATAATAATTGAATCAATTATATAAGAAAGTTTTTTTTTTTTTACAAAAATAAAAAATATTACTTCCCTTTATAAATAGAAATCTCAATGAGTTTAACTACTTAGAGATAATCATTTTTTTAATTTGTTTGCTCTATCATATTTTGCATCAATAAGATTAAACAGTGAATCCATAGTCACTCGGTTGTCCATAATTGGACTGACATATTTTTTTTATTTCTTTTATAATTTTTTGGGGTCATTTCGTGATGCTACGAGGGCTATAAATTAGCAATTAATTTCTTAATATTTTTAAGAAAAAAAGAGAAAAATAGGCCAAGACTTGAGATGAATTAAAATTAATAGGTCAATAGTTTACCTAAGTTAATAAATAGGCTAAATTACTGTTTTTGTCTATAACTTGTCTGATTATGAACCATAACTTAACAAGTTATTGTCCATAAATCACAATTTTTGTCCATAACTTGTATGGCTATGAACCATAACTTGGCACATTCATCCATAACTTATCTGATTATGAACCATAACTTGACAAGTTATGGTCTATTAATTTTTATAACTAAAAATTAGCCTACATACTTCTTTAAGCTTTTTATATTGATCTATTTTTTACTTTTTCTGTATTTTTAACAATTGGATATACATATGTGACTTCAATAATTTTTTTTTCCTGAAACAATCAATACATACATATATTATAGACTAGATCGGACAATTATAGGATTAGGAAGGGAGAAAAAAAAAACAACTATAAATATCTGTACATCGGCTAGCTTCTAGAGGGAGTCTTCATTTAGTTATTATAATAATAAAACTTCCGGTATTTGTTATCCACAATTAAGAAAAAAAAAACAACTATAAATATCTGTACATCGGCTAGCTTCTAGAGGTAGTCTTCATTTAGTTATTATAATAATAAAACTTCCGGTATTTGTTATCCACAATTAAAAAAAAAAAAAATTCAAAGCCTGCGAAATCATTCGTGGTCATCTATAACTAATTAAAAAAAAAAAAATTCAATCAAATTTATAAGATGCCCGTCTTTATTTATTTATTTATAGTTTTTTTTTTTTTTTTTGGTTTATAAATCACATATTCACATTAAAGACGTGGAAACCATAAGCCGGAAAAGGCCAAGTTGTTCAGGCAAGCGTCTAGGCGTCCCCACAAACGCAGGTTATATGGGCAGACCAAATTGTGTTGCTTAAACGTTCAAAAAGTTCAAACCAATTGTTTTTCCCATTTTGCCCATTTGTGTGTTTCATAACTAATGTCTTGTCATAATAATAATAATTGCAATTCCATTACATCAAATTAGATAAATCCAAAATATTTGTAGAGAGAAGCGATAAGACCGATAAAGGATAAGCACAAATGTCACTATGTCAGCATGCGCTGAATTTATAAAAAGCTTCAAAAGTGAAAAATACGAATTTTAACTTATTAATTTATTTTTTTTCCTTTCTTAGTATAATAAAAATAATATTTTTTAGTACGTTAATATATTAATAAATTAATTTTTTATGCGTTAAATTTATATAAAATAACACAAATTTAATAGTTATAAAAATTTAATTTACTAGTACGTATAAAAAAAATTAATAAAAAAAGAAAATTATTTTTAAAAAAAATAATAATTAAAAAATGAGAAGGAAAGAGGACCATCAACGTGCGTTCAGCCAGGCCCCACCGAATCACAGCCGTTGCATGCTTTTCGGTGAGCGCGTTTTTTCAGTTTTTTTATTTTCCTCAAAAGGGGGGCCCATCATTTCAAATTTTGGGATGACATAGTGATCGGAGCCGTTGGTTACTGGTCGGAAGGTCTGGATTCAAACTGGAGAAGAGAATTTTGAATTCTATATGCAGGGAAAGGCAAAAGAGTGTCATAATTTATTTTGTAATATATCCAAATTTATCAGCAAATGTGATAATTTTGTGGCTGATGCGATAAGATTTAAAGGACAATATTGCCCCCGTTTCGTTATTCAATTTACGTAGCAAAATTATTTGGGCAAACATTTGTGCCCTTGACTTTTCTTAAAAGCGTTCCATTTATTTTAGAGGTGAAACCAGTTATTTGTTAGTGGGAAATTATGTGAATATGGATTAGTGTTTATATCTTTTCATGCTATTAAATGCATTTTCTCCTTAAAAAAAAAAAAAAAAGCAAACGATTTTTCATCAATAAATGATGAATGATCAGATTGCGTTGTATAATTTCTATAAGTTGGAAGGGACATTAATGAGCGATGTATATATATACACACATAGAGAGAGAAATATTATCCAGAGAGAACTATGGAAGGTGAATTTTTAAATTTATTTTCATTTAAATTTTATGCCTTTTTTTGTTAACAAAGATTGTAAATTAATGTTGTTATTAAATCACTGTAAAAAGAAAAAATGTTATAATCATATCAATGCTGTCGGATATCACCATCACCATTCGAAATCCAACCTTATATCAAAAAGTGCCACCATATTAAAATGAATAATGATGCCTTTAATGATAAAAATAATATAAAATAGGTAACATAAAACGACCAACAACTTAATTTTCTATCGACAAATCAATCAAAAACAAAAAAGCTTTTCACAACAACAAGACATAGGTTAGGTCATTTTAGTTGATTTTAAATCATTACTGCAAACAAACTAGAAGTAGCTATTAATCACCGATCGAGGTTTAATTGAAATCATTGTCATTTGTTAGAAACAACTTATGTTGCAAAATTTTCCGCAAGTGCACGAGTCGTAAAAGTAATCAAGTTATTAAAAAGTCAAATATCATCCCACAATGATTGAATTTTTGAGAATTAAACTAAATACTATGAGTGTTCATGACTAAATTTTATCTAGCGACCGAAATTGAGTTAATTAAGTAATCGAAGCAAGAAAAGTAAATTAATTTAACTATTAAAAGTAGAACACGAGATTTAACAAAATAAGTAACTAAATGTCAAAACTATGAGTGAAAATAAAAATAATAATAAAATTATAGGATCTTGATTTCGCTTCGCTCTCTCTATGTAATCCTATTTAGTGGTTGCTAATTAATTTAACTCAATTTATTAATCTAAGATTTTTAAATTAATTTAGTGTATTTTTATCTAGTATTCTACTCAACATCATATTAATATCGAGATGATATATTGTGGTCGCTAGCATAATTTAATGATAATTTTACACCTGACTTTACAGTAAGATGTGGAGTTTGAATATCTCATTTTAATTTTTTTTTTTTAAATGATATCAAAACAAACACCATGTAAATTCAAAAAAAAAAAAGTTAAATAAGATGTAATGATTCAGTGCAAGATCGATACAACAATATATGCTTTTATCTTTACCGTATTTGAAGTCTTTGTGGCTTGTTGCCTCTAATACAATGTGCCATCGTAAATCTCAAGTTAAGATTTCTCAAAACGCGTTTAGGCCAAAGCCGTCCATTTATGTTGTTCCTTTTCATTTCCACTTACCCTTTGTGTGTTTTTTATGGGACAATAACCAAAAGGGCATTTTAGGAACTTCACTTTCTCGCATTTTAATTATAAAGCCCGGCTCCAAGCCCCCAGGGAAACGAGAGACCAAGTGAAAAACAGAACATTCATTGATTTTGTCAAAAAGTTCATCATTTTTATCATCAATTTTTTTTTTTTTTTAAATACAAATAAAAACAGAGAGAGATAAAGAAAAAACGAGTTGCGGAAACTGGAAACATGGGAGATGTTGTAGTGTTTGTGGAGGATTTGAAGAAGAGCTATGGAGTTTCTTACTGTAGAATTTGCCATGAAGAGGAATTTGAAGACTCTCATCAGACTTTAGAAGCTCCTTGTGCTTGTTCTGGAACTGTCAAGGTAAACAGAAAAAAAAGAAAAAAAAAAACTCTGTTCTGTTCTATATAGCTTTCTGGGTTTCTTTTGAATTTGATCATCTTTTTATTTTTATTTTGTTTTTGTGACGATCGTTTTGGTTTGTTTTTGAAAATTTTCAGTTCGCGCACAGAGATTGCATACAGAGATGGTGCAACGAGAAGGGAAACACAACCTGCGAAATATGCCTTCAGGTTTGATTTAAACTGAAAAAGTTTTCAATTTTTTTTTTTGTTAAATCAATTCTGTTTCTTTCTGTATGGCTCCAAAATCGAATTGGGTCTTGCGATATGCCTTCAGGTTTGATTTAAACTGAAAAAGTTTTCAATTTTTTTTTTGGTTAAATCAATTATGTTTCTTTCTGTATGGCTCCAAAATCGAATTGGGTCTTGCATCGTTTTTGATTTCGAGTTCATATCCAACTGTTTTTTTATCGTTGCTATTTTTTTTTGCCCCCTTGGTGTCTCAAAATTTGTCTTTTGCTTATCTTTTATGCTTGAACAGTTTAATTGGTTTTTGTCGATACCAAAGTAGAAAAATGTTTTATTATATGTTTTTTTTGGAATATTTTTCAACGTCTAAAAATAGAGTCTATGATTTTCTTTTCTTTTTTTTTTTTGGCTCTGAAAAGTGAGTTTATGAATACCATGAATTTATAGCCTTTCGTGAATTTACTTTTCTTATGTTTGTCATTTAGTGTGGTTGTCAGTTAATATATGTCTAACTTAGGGGACAGATTTTTCCCATAAATTTTTCTACTTTACGTATTCTTCTTGGAATATTCGAACTTTTATCTTAAAAAAAAAAAGTTTATAATAAGGACAATCATAATGGTACGCAGAATTACGAGCCGGGGTATACAGCACCTCCAAAGATTTCTCCTCTAATTGAAGCAGCAGTCACCATTAGGTATGTTACAAAAAAACAAGTAATTTTTATTTTTTTGGGGGGTCCTTTTTCTCTTTCTAAGCAATGAGAAGCTTCAAATTGCAAAATAAGCTTGAAAACCAAAATAAAATAAAGTGGTTCCCAATTAAATGTTGTTTATTTTAAATGTGTAGTGTGGACCCTTGACTTGGAACAAACTATTCATTTTTTTTTTTTTTTTTTTTTGCATTTTCTTCTGGGGTTTAAGTGAATAATTAAAGTTTTAATAGGAATGTACAATCTGTCACAGAGATAGCTTGCAGATTCCAAGAAGAGAACAAAGGCCAAGTATAGTGGCTTTAGCTGAAGAAAACGAGTATTCTGAATCACAATGCACTTCTGCTGCAGATAGAAGCGCGTCTTGCTTTAGATCTCTGGCTCTTCTTGTAAGTTTCCCCTTAAATCTATAATCTCATATTGCTTATTGCATGTGTCACAGCTAATGGACATCTGGGTCAACTTCTTCTTAAAAGTAGAAAAGTAAGCAAATATGCTAATTGGGCTCTTGGGGAAAACTTATGAAATGGGGAAAACATGGTTGACCATTTCTTGTCTTGTGACCACCTCATCTGGATTTATTAATTTATTGATTTATTGATTTATTTATTTTTTAGTATTGTTATTCATCAAGATGTACCCCCGGTTAAAAAGAAAAAATTGTCACGTGACCAAAAGTATTTTATTTATTTTATGTTGTTGATTTTAATATATTGTTATGATAATAAATATTAATTACTTATTTTTTTGGCCTTCATTGACCTTTGAATAGTAGTGCTATTCAGAAGGGCTGCAATTAATTGCGTAATTCAAAGTTCAAAGTTCAGACCTCAAAAAACTGTACCTTTGACAATTAGGAATTCGCCGCGGGCAGCAATGTGGGGCATATTGCTGTAGTTTAGGACATTCTATGATTCCTTATGTAACAATTTAATGTATTATTATTTGTTGCTAATTTGGGACTTGAATGTAAACATTTAATGCAGGTTACGGTGATTTTACTTGTGAGACATCTCTATGCGGTTCTTACCGGTGGGGCAGAAGATTACCCTTTCACACTTCTAACAGTAAGTTACATAAATCTCTAGTATATAAGTAGGCCAAGTTTCAAGTTTGGCGTCGTTTATTTCTTAATGTTGTTTTTTTTTTAAACTTTGTGCAGATAATTATTCTAAGGGCTAGTGGAATAATCCTCCCAATGTATGCATTAGTTCGAACAATTACAGCACTTCAAAACAGCGCCAGGAGACGATATCAAGTAAACCTTATTTGCTTATGCTACACTTGATATGAGCCATTCTTTTTCTACAGCTCGGTTGTTAATTTTTTGATTTGACATAACAGCCTCAAAACTCTAAACTAACAATATCTCTATGTTCTACAGGATTCTGATGATGACGATGACTTAGCATCGGATGGAGATGAAGAAGAAGAAGAAGAAGACGAACATCATCAAGACATAGTTTAAACAAGGCTCTTAAGAGATTTTTTGTCCGTCCTCCTGTTATTACGTGTATTAGACTAGAGAATTGCTTTAATGCTCTAGCTTTTATTGTTTTGAGGTAAACAAAAAATAAATGAAAAAAAAAAACCAATTTTTTTCCTTTAATTTTTTTTTAGGTAATTAGTAGGAATGATTTCCAAACTTATCAAAAGGCGACAGTTTAGTCTTTAAATATTTTTTTTGACGAAATAAGCCCCAAACTATTTAAAATAATGCAATATCGTTCTTTCCGTTAAATATTATTTAAAAATAAGGATTAAATTCTAATTTATTAAAGTCGATTGGAATTAAGAAATCACCTTATAAAGAAATAATGAATCATAATGTCACCCTTTTAAATTATTATGCCGTTACTTTTTGAACGCTTTAAATATTTTTTTTGACGAAATAAGCCCCAAACTATTTAAAATAATGTAATATCGTTCTTTCCGTTAAATATTATTTAAAAATAAGGATTAAATTCTAATTTATTAAAGTCGATTGAAATTAAGAAATCACCTTATAAAGAAATAATGAATCATAATGTCACCCTTTTAAATTATTATGCCGTTACTTTTTGAACAGCATCTGATAGAAAGACCTGCATTACACCATTTTAAATAATTTAGCATTCATTTCGTCAAAAAAATTTTAAAAAAAATTAAAAACTAAACTGTCACCTTTTAAAGAATTTAAAAACCACAAGAGTTTGCCACCCACCCAACCACTCAATATTTTTGAAATAGGATGCCAAAACTATTGTTTTTTTTTTTTTTTTAGCCCTTTGAGAGCAATTCCGGTAAGATGAACAACCAAAGCTATTGGGACACATTCACTTTGAAAACAAGCTAGTTTGATGAAAAAGTAAGATTTGTTTATACAGTATAGCCAACAACTTTCAACCGATTGATAAACTACCTATGACATATTATACACTGAACAAACTACTCTAATCCCAACCATAAAAAAAATGAAAAACGACAACGCATCTACGAATGGTATTAACAAGGATATGCTATGTGACGGCCAATGAAAACGATACCAACATACCAAAACAAAAATACATGTAGGTGGAAAAAACCCGTTTACACTATTAGACTGCAAGAACTACTCCCAACTAATTGAGACAAAATTCTGTGGCAGCAAAATGTAGGACCATATCAACACACAAAAGGTGAGACGAAAACTATTCTATGGTTACGCTCGATATATCTCTTGTACAAAGCTAGTAGTGCCATTCCACTTCCTAGCTAAACGTTCAGCCTGTTGCTTCAAGAATTAAGACAACGACCGCCTATTTGTGAAATTAGCAAATAACAGCCGTGGGAAACTATCGCTGCCGAAACAATATGGAAACTCGATATGCTTGGTTAAAGAGCAAAAATTTCACCATCCGAGACTGATAAGCCATAAAGTTCTTGCTGCCCTCATGTAGAATTTATTTCACAAAGTATTCTTGCTTCTTTCTGGAGATCAATCAGGCAACTAATGCTCTCCGCAGACTCCTCGCACCTCGAATTTGCAACAACACTATTCAACTTTTTAATCAAAACTGCCATCTTCTCAATCGAACTCTGAGTGTATACATTTTCTGGTGGCTTCTTGTGTTTGCCGTACATAGCCTCAAATTCCCTTGACTTAGCTGTGGCGTTTTGGAGTACAGAGTCCGAGAGACCTGCAACAATATTAGCAGTGAGAACCGGAATGTAATCTAAGATACGAAAGTCATATTATCTGAATTCTATATTTTAATTTCTTGTGGCGTTCGCTATATCAAGAACATTCATACTAGTTTCATTCTCCAAGTAAATTCTTAGAGCTGCAGACTGTTGAAAAACGAAGGTTTAGGGGCACCACACCCCATATCTGACTAGTTGATAATTTATGGCTCTATAGATGAGCCGATACTAAATGACTGCATCTTAACTACCAAAGGTAATTGTTTTTCTCGAAGATTAGGAAAGAGGCAACAAAAGAGTAGAGAAGCTTACCAGCTAATCGGGCAACATTAACGCCATAGCTTTTAGGGCAAGCACCAGCAGTCAATCTGTAAAGAAAAGTTACTTCTTCTATGCCACCAACACCCCTTCCAACTTGGCATGCCATATGACTGAGCAAGACCTGTTGACAATGCAAAGGTAATCACACAAAATGTTGACCAGTCTCTAAGGCAATGTCATGAACTTAAGAGCTCCATTAATTTGTTATGCTAGGAAGGGTGTGAGAGTAAGTATGCACTAAAGAAATAAGAAATTTCCCAGACAGATTGAAAGAGGCGGACCTTGGGATCTTTCTGATAATCGACCGCTAACCGATGGTAGTGTGTGGAAAACATTCCTCGACATTGCACCTTGTGAACAAAGTGTTCAAGGACAGATTCCCTTCCAAAGAGAAGAAAAAAAGTAAGATCATGTAGTCAATTACATTAAAAGTCCCCGTGTGCAAAAAGCCAAGCCAATACGATACATACGCAATCGCTTGTCCATCGGAAGTTGACGTCCCACGTCCAAGTTCATCCAATGCAACCAATGAACTACGAGTGGCAGATGACTGCTTACAACATTGAGCAGAAATAAGAAATACTTGCAGGAAATGGGTTAGCTTGTGAAGGAACAAGACTTTGTAAAGTTTGTCCCATAACAATTGGAAGTAAAATGAAATCTCACCAGCATCACTGCAGTTTCAGACAGCTCTGTTAGAAAAGTACTTTGCCCTGCCATAATATGATCTTTAGCACCCATCCGAACAAAGATTCTGTCAACAGGAGAGAGCTCAAATCTTTCTGCGGGCACATCTGCTCCTAACTGTGGAAGGAAGTGAACATGACAACAACAGAATTTACATGATGCCCAAGTTGATGTATATCTGATTTGTTAAAAGCTTGTGAAATTTGCACGTAAAAGGAAAGCACCAAGCAGAAGAGATCCACAAACAAGGAAAAGAAAAAAGAGATTCACAGTTGAACAAACGATAAACTTGCCTGGGCCAAAATTACGGTTAAGCAAACTTGTCGAAGAAAAGTTGACTTTCCACCCATATTGGGACCAGTCAGAAGAATAAAGCTGGGATTGCCTGAACCTCCGATGGTAATATCATTGGGGACAAAAGAACCTTTCCCCAAGGAATCGCTTCTAAGAACAGGATGTCCCAAACTTTTAGCAGCAAAACTAGGCACATCATCCGTGCATGATGAGCTCAGAATAACTGGCTGGCATGTTGGTCCTTCATAAAAGTCACTTGCAATAGCAAGGCTAATCAAAACATCCAGCTCTACAACATTTGAGATTCACGTTCAGATATGCAAAAAGAAGAAAATCTAGCCAATATGGAACTTATATATGCTACTTTTTCTTGTTCCTAGATTAGAAATGTCACTATGGCCTCAAATACTTCACAAGAGGCTGAAAGCTCATACATTAAAGAATGCATAGGGTTGTGTTCAACACTGTTCACACCAATAAGAGAGGATAGGTACCATAGCAATGGTCAAAACTCCCATCAGTTTTATTTTATCGAAGTAGAAATATTGAGTTTGGCACTTTAAACATAATTGATATATTGAAAATCACTATGACGTCTCTCCAATCAGGTAGGAATATTAGAACATAAATGCAAGAACCCTGGTCTATAAATAGAGAAGAAGATTTCCAACCTGCAGTAATAGAAACCAATTGTCTCCACTTCACGTGATGTTCACAAAATTGTCCAATTAACCTCTGCAGAATGTTCTTTAGTGAGGACTCCTTTTCACTTTCAGCTTGGGAAAGTTCTCCCAACAGATTCTTAATATTTGGCGTCCAGTACCTGAAGAATCCCTGCATGTGCCAGGCCAGAAGGAAAATTGGTGAAAGTCAAGCCAACCTTAAAAGATAAATGGAAAATACAATTTCACAGCACAATATAATTGCCATAAACAACTATCAAATCTACAGATTTTTCTTTCCTTTTTTTTCCTTTAAATATTAATAACAAAACATTGCAGTTTCTTTGTCTACCAACCCTTTTAGATGAACGTAACTCGTAGTCCCTAGGTACATGACCACGCAGACTTTCTGGTACTTCCAACAGGTAGGTTTCCTTTCCGACTGTGACATAAGTGATCTGTGATGAAACATAGGAGGACAAAAATTATTTAGCTTTGTCATTTTACATAATTACCAGGACACTACTAAGAGATAAAAAGCCATCCCAGGAGAGTTCTTACCGACGTGTCTCCCAGTAATTTTCGCTGTTCTTTAAGGTATTTTGTTAAGCTAGTCTCAATCTCCTTAACCCTTTTACAGGCAGAATCATACTCAAAATCAGCACCTTCACGAGGTATTATACGACCTGAACTATTGGCTTCTACCCAATCAAAAGCATCCTTAAAATGAGTTAGGACTGGATTAATGTCAGGAAAACCTGAACCTGAAATTAGATAAAGAAATAAGCCACAAACATTTTCAGCATATAGTGTCAAACCAGAAGTTTTGAACTAATCAATCTACTGACTTATCAAAAATAATTCTTAATAAAAATAAAAGCCACTTGGATCACATTAAGTCAGATTTGAAAGAAGATCTCTGCATATATCAAGTAGTTGTACCTGGTGTTAGCAAATGGCGAAGTTGTCGACAATCAACATTTTCCAAAATGGCACCAAGCGAAGAACATGCTTGGGCCATTAATTCACAACCGTGTAAAGCAGAAGTAAACTCCTGAAGCTGTTTCTTGGCTGCGTCCTCATATAAGACCACTTTACTAGCATTTCTTCCATTAGCTTCACTGCGCTTAGTCAAGTCACTTGAATCATCATCAACTGCAACCACATAATAGTTTTAAATAGTTCTTCCCAGCTTACCTAATAGAGAAGACACATGCAAGCAGTCGCTCCATGTCTGGCAACCTGGATAATGCTTTTCGATATTCAAGTGAAAAAGGTAGATTAGTTCCCTGGAAAGCAAACCATACGTCAGCACATTTATATAGCAGCAACCAATTATGTAAAGTGCTTCTTTACAGAAAACCAGTGTAATAGAGATAGATGGGGAGAAATTATAGAATCTGCAAAATCTTTAGGACCCTTGAGAAAAAGAAAAGGAAAAGAAAAACAAATTTGCTGAAAACAATAGTGAGATAAGCTTCGATGTCAAATTCTAAGGACTGGAACCTTGAGTCTAGACAAAAGATACTAACAACCATAATGTACCAAAAAAATGTGAAAGGAATTCTGCGGATATCAATAATGGATATGAACTGTCAGCATCATAGAAGGTTACCCGTAAACTTGCCACAGCCTCCTGGCGTTCTTTTATTGACTCCACATGAAATGGAGGCCTTGCAAGCCATGTCTTGAGCAGCCGTTTTCCAAATGCAGTCACACAGTGGTTCAGTTGTGCATATAGTGTCCTTGAAGGAGTACATTTCATGTCAGAACAAAGGTGAAACAAAACGGAAGAAAAAGCAGAAAAACAATGAAGTAAATAACAAGGTTTTACCCTGTCAAGTCTCCATTTCTGCTGTTCTCAAAAATCTCAAGGTTCTCTAGTGCGGCAGAATCAAGAACCAAGTACGGCTTTGATATCACATCACCAAAACCAGAAGATGGAAGCAACTCAAATTTTGCAAATCTAAGCAATGTCTCGTCCAGAAAAGCCTGTTTCAGATAGAAAAGAGTGCCTCCAAGAGCTGAAAGTGCATAGCTGCTATCCTCACCCGCTCTTACTAGATCTGCTAAAACATCTGGAAGGAAAGCCAATCCATCGTCTTCAATACAAGAATTGACTGAATGAATATTTTCTCTACTTGAACACTTTGAAACTGATTGATCAGATGCACATTCATAAATACTTTTGACTTCACGAACAGTTTTCTCAGCATCCCAGAATTCCAATACTGGAACTAATTCATTCACTAGTGGAGACCTTGTATGTCTCAGAAGTACTTTTTCAGTTTCCAGACTAAGTTGTTTAGCAGGTTTAACAATTTCAACTGGCCTCAGCTCAGACAAGAGACAAGATAAAGCACTGCATTCTGAATCATCGTTAAACTGGAAGAAGGACAGCAATTTTGAATTAGAAATACACCTCAAAGAGCAATAAATGGAGCTTTTGATCAGAAGAATATGTGTGTGTGCGTGTACAGACGGCGCGCGCGCGCGCACACACACACACGAGAAGCTAGCCCAGATTCTAACCTGTCCAAGAATGACCCTACTGGTAGCAACATCAACCACACATACACCAAAAATCCTGTCCACGTTTTGACAGCTCTCAGTCACTGCCATTAGGTAAGAAGCATCAGGGTTGGCAGATAGCATCTCTCCCTCAGTAAGTGTTCCTTTCGTAACCACTGCACATATTTCACGCTTCACGACCTACAAATACAGTAGAAAACAGTCATAACTCAATTTAAATACAGTAACAGAATCTTTAGTGGATATGAAACTGTGGAAAGCAGTGTTGCCCATAAAGATTGAAAAAGAGGATAAAAAAGACAATAGGATAAACAAAATCAAGAAAAGGTGGCTTTCTCCAACCTTATCTTTGGAACCTTTCTCTTTGCGACGAAGCTCCAACTGTTCAGGTGTTTCTGTCTGCTCTACTACAAGGACTCGATACCCCTGCGCTGCCAATATACCTGGAATTAAATTTCTAGAACAGAATAGAATATAGACTTCCCAAAGTTCTCAAAGTGCATAAAGCAAAGAGAAAAATATCTCACTATCAAATGACAAATCAAGAACCCACCTTTCTAGCCAGCTTCTCCAAATTCATCGAAAAGTTCCTCTCTGGAAATCCACAGTGTGGTTGTTCTCCCTAAAAAGTAAGTAGAAATCAACTGGCAGTAAAACTATAAATAACCAAAAGAGACCATTAACAAATACCAAAGGTGCCGACACATGTATTAGAGTTAAGGACAAAATGCTTCTGGTCTTATTCTTAATTATTTCCTTTAGAAAAATACTCCACAATCAGACAACCAAACACAATATCAAATGAAAAGTAAAAAATAAAAACATAGGAAACTAATACATACCAGACTCGGCAGCAAAGAAGGAAAGGAAAAATGACTACTGCACTCTAATTAATACCTACCTTCATATATTGCAAATCAAGTTCTTTTGCCCCAGTATGTGCATCCATTTCAAAAAGTTCATAGAATTTTCCCATCTGCTCAAGCAAATAAGAGAAATCCGTTCACTTCACTACAATCATTACATTGAAAAGTATCATATAATATATTCCACTTAACGATACATCAAATGCCCTACAATCATTACATTGAAAAGTATCATATTATATAGCACTTAGCTATACATCAAATGCCTACCTTGAAAAACAATACTTTATCCATGTGCTTTGACTTGAAGTCCCACCATTGTCTCTGAATATCACATGTCAGCAGACAAATAATCACAAAAAAAAAAGGAAAAAAAAAACCTTCAAAATTTTACAAGGTCGGGTTGAAACTAATACTTGTCCATCTGATAAACTCTTTACGAAATCCGGGGGTAAGTACAGGGTTCTTGGATCATAGTCTGGATCACCAGGCCGTCTCCTCTTTGAATCTCTACGTTCCCTATTTGAAGATAAAGCAGTTGAGTGTGAAAAGAACAAGATTTGGCATCACTAAATGCAGCTTCTGCATACTAATTGAAATGGTCCTCTCGTCTTGTAAAAGATGAAGCACAAGTTACTAATTTTCAAGGAAAATTCCACATTCAAGAGAGTTTAAAAAGGAAAATCTAAATAAACAAAACACGTACAAAGAGTCATCATGTGTTGCCAGTATGCATGGTAGTGGTAATTCTTTCCACACAACCACCAGATTATACAAGCATATAACAGGTAAGACACTGAAAACCGTATGAAAATAAACTCACTCTCCAAGGAAGCGCAACTTCTTAGCTTCACGCATGCTAAACCTTTCCGAGGCATCCCCAGGCAAAGCAGTATTAATAGCATTAGAGGCCTTCCCACCTGCAGTCGAAACTCAAATTCAATACCCAGGTAACGTATGAACAAATAGAATGACAACACGCTATTCTGAGATACAAAACCACCTGATTGCTGGGCCAGCGAAAACCAAAACAAAATCAAAACAGCGTCTGTAAGTCTAAAAGCATGCCAAACAAAGACAACAAAGCTTTTAGCTAAGCACCAAGCTAGAAATGGGAAGGTCAAAAACTGGTACATACAGCTCCTTGTTGATTTTGATTGAGAACCATATTTAGTTCTGTACAAAGCGGTTCTCTTTTATTTGCTGGGAACATAAAAAGGCAGCTACTACTTCACTTATGAATCATGGCACAGTCAAACTTCAAGATTATCTAGTTCTTACAGGAAATAAAAGTTCGGAAGAAGTTGTACCTATTCAATAGCACAAACATAAACTTATTTCTACTTCAACTTCATCAAATTCAGTTACATATTCATACACATTAACCAATACAAATGACCAAAAAAAAAGGCCCACAAAACCCCCTACACAAGTGCAACACAAACACCATTACAGTTTTTCCATTAAAAAGGAAACCTTTAAAAAAAAAAAAAATCACTTACTCTCAACATTATTATTTGCAGGTTCCACAAGGGAAACCTTGAAACCAGCTTTACTCACATCTTCACCACCCTTGGCCTTCTTAGCAGATCCCAGCTTCCCTTCTCCACCTACCTTGCGTTTCCTCGTCTCTCCTTTACCACTGCGCTTTCCTTTCAACGGCACCGTTTCATTATCTTCATTCTCATCGTCCAATTCCACAACCTCCTTTTCTTCAGTATCCTCAATCCCCTCTTTCTCCTCACTCTTCCCCCAATCTTCATCGCTAGAATCATCGCCATTATCCTCTTCCTCATCCTCTAAATTCTCCACTTCATCATCAATCACCATCTTCTCAACGCTAAAGGAAGAGCCGCCGCGCCTCAATCGCTTGAATTTCCTCACGGTCTCTTCTATCCACTCGATCTTCTCCTTCGCCAACTCAACCGACTCTTCCTCGCCGTCGTCGTACTGGACCAAATGCTTACCGGAATCTTTATCAAAAGACCTCACAAATCCTTCGTACCAGCTCTTATCCAACGGCCAGTACACCTTGATCCTCTTCCCAACGACCTCCTCGCCGTGGAACTTCTCCGACGCCGGAGTCAGAGGCGAGAGAGACAGTGGAGACGCGCCGCCGATCACCAAAAGCGGCTTTTTTAGCTTGGATTGGGGAGGCGAAGGAGTGCTAGGGCTAGGGCTAGGGCTGCGAGCGGGTTTGGGTTTGGATTTAGGGTTAGTGTTAGGTTTAGTGGAAGAAGCGAGCTTGGTAGGGTTTTGAGTAGGGGTAATGGGAGAAGAAGAAGCGGATTTGGAGAAGAAGGAGGTGATTTGGCGCTGCTGGTTGACGAGCGGGGATCGGCCATTGCTGAGGCGACGAGAAGATGCCATTGCTGTTTCTCTGGCAAATGGATTGTTGTGACGTTCAGTGTGTGTGCATCAGAGAAATAAAGAAAGAGAGATGATGACTGATGAGAGAGAAGAGAGAGAGAAGTGAGAGAGAAGAAAGGTGAAAAGAGAGAAAAAGAAGGGTACGGAGAAAGAGTATAAAGGGGAATGTTTGAGGCGGGAAATTTAGCAGTAAGTTCCCCGGGAAGTGCTGTTGGCGGGAATTCTGGGGAATCCGGCACGCTCTTCTCTCTCCTTATTTATTTACTTATATATATATATATATATGTATAATATATGTATTTTTGAGAGAGAGAGAGAGAGAGAGTGCTTATATCTGAAATGAGCTTGAAACATGTTGATCGCTATGTCGTTTTTCCTTTTGGTGTTTGCTGAGCTAAAAGACATATTTGTGGTCGTTTGAACGAAAACGACATATCGAATTTGTTGCAAAGTTTTGCCCAAAAATTTTGATCCTACATTCTTCTGTCGTTTCCTTAATAATATAAACGGATATATTTATAATTAGTAAAATTTTGAGCATTCATGTATCTCGTTTAAATGCAGGTAATATATACGTATAAACATATAAAATCACATATGGGTTTGACTTTGGCTACCTGCTGGTACGTTTGATGCACGGAGAAATTGAGGTCGTGGACAAGGACATTAGCGACAAGATAAGTTGTTTTATTCGTTGATTAGAATTTTTAATTCGAATTGAGATGTGACATTATATGATAATTACTTATTATATTAAAAAAGTTAGATGTGATTATTTTTAAAAGTATTTTTACTATAGCAAAACTCGAATTTTAAATTTAAATCAGTGAAATAAACTAAACGGGACCTTAGATTCAATGTTATTTTTCCCTTGTGAAAACCAAAAAAAAAAAAAATACCAAATTGATTTGCGTATTCAAGATCATGACTTGGATTCATCACCAAAGACAAAAGGCATTAGTATATCAAGTACTGAGCAAATTGCTAAAATTTCCAGAGCTCCTAGCTCATCAAGAAATGATCAACATAAGACCAAGATTGAATCCGAAATACGAGAAGTAATTGCTAGTACTTCAAGTGGTCATGAAAGCCCTTGGACGAAGAATAAGATTTGGTCTCCCACTAGTTGGTATTGTTACTCGCCTAGAGTTATAATTGTTGGAAAAATGGCTTATTAAAGGTCTATATTGAGGCCCATATTAGAACAAGGTCAATTAAATTTTGGGATGGATCTCGATAGATTTATATTCTTCATCACGAGGAGATCGAAATCAGATATTTATACTTAAAATGGATATTGACTAAATGAAAAATTGATGCTTTAAGAATGTCACTTAGAATGGTTAAATTAGTTGGATATTGCAAAATCCCACGTTGACTAGGAATGAAGCCTTGGTGGTGTATATAAGTGATTGTACTTTGAAGCTTAGGTAAACATGTATACATGAGAGGTTCTCTCATGTGCAGGGGGTGTGAATCACGGTCCCAGCGGGTTAGGGGCCCAATGTGTGTGCTCGCGACCTGCGGATACGAATGTCGAACTAAAAAGCCCACTCCGTGCACGCATTGTTTTAAAATTTTCCTTTTATTTTTCCTAACTTAAATCCGGAATTTATTTTAGAATTCAGATTGATAAGAAACTGAAACTGCAGCATTTGAGCAAGCTTTAACTATGCATTAGTGTAGGGTTTATGGCTCAGAAAAATTGCAGCACTATTGCTCGGTTTATTTATGTGTTTATGAGCATGGAGCCTCTGAATTTGGACATACTTTGGAGCAGGTTCATCTGGATTTACAGAGGTTATAATCTTTGAAATGAATCTCCATTAATCTAAGAATAAATTCGGATTCATTCATCATTATTCTAGCACTGTAACATCCCTTGCGGCAGCCAATATAAGGAGGTCTCCTTAGCCATTTGGGTACACACCACCAAAACACCCATCTATTCTCTCTCTAAGTTATTTTGAGTTCTTTTTGCAGTTTTTGTAGTTCGGTTTTGATGATAGAAGCAAGGTCCAAGTTCTCATTCACTAAACGGTTTTGATAGTGCTTCGTGCTACTGTCGTTGTCATTGTATCATGAGAAACGGACGTCTAACATAACCTCAAGTACTCACTGGAATGGACGAATCTGTTTTAAAGAGAGTGTGATTCACGTATCTCGACATCATCCTTCTCAATTCAATTCAGTTTTCAAATTTCGGTTGAAAGTTGAATTCGTTTTGTATCATTTTTCATTGCTACAAGTTAATGTGTGTATATATATATATATATTATATTGTTATTCTTTGTATTTCCATATTATTGTCTAACAATAATATCAAATAAAAGTCTCCCAATCATACTCGCAATTAATTACCACCAACTTCGCGCGACATGAGAGTGATCAAATGTACATCAAGATCATGGTGAATCCAGCGGTGGGAAATTTTTGAGTGGGAAGAAAATTTATGACAGTTTGGTGCAAAGGATGCTGACCGTATTGAAGCAAATCTCAATCCTTGGTGCAAGTGTTGTGTTGATGTTTCATGTTTGCACAAATTGGAAAGAAGCTGTGGACCTTGTTTGCAATGGACGGGCCAACCAAATGAAAGAGCAAAAAGAAAATTCTACGATGACCCTTATGATTATATATTGGTGGATTGTGAGGTAATTAAAGAAACTAGATGGTCAATCTAGTTAATAGCTCAATTAGAACAAATCTAGTTGTGTGCCAATCTAGTTGGGATGAATTTGGTCTTTTTGACTCGCAACTATTCAATTTTATTCAAGAAAACTACTGATTGCATGGAAGTCACTAACATATGTACAATATGTATTTTTTTTGCAGATGTCCATAATGAGTGGAATATGAAACAACTAGGGAGATAAGGAAGGAGGAGAAATGTGTTCATATCCCCATCATTGCGTTGAGTGCACATGCACCAGGTTCAGAGGAAGCCAGCAAGAGATCATGGCTGGAATGGATGGTTACTTGAGCAAACCCTAGTAAAAGTTAAATCTTTTGTTTTGTATATACGGTTCTCAACTTTTTTAGGGAATACCCGATAACCAAAAAAAAAAAAAAGAGTGGGAGAGAGTACATAAAAAGTATTACGGCTCTGGTCATTTCACCAATTTGAGTTTAAAATTTAAGTTTTATTACAGTAAAAAATTTTCAAAAACAGTCACATCTAACTTTTTTGTTACAGTAAAAAGCTCTCATATAAAGTCACATCTTAACTTGAATTAAAAACTCGAATCAACGAATTAAACGGGCTACTTTTTTCATTGAAAACCGTTGCAACTCACTCTCTCCCCTCCTATTTAGATCACAGAACGACGTCTTTCAGGCATTCAGACGTTGTCTTCTCATGATCATGCTTATTATTGTTCAACCTCTAGAGGTCAAAGAGGAGAAGATGGACTGAGATCATGATCATGCTTCAAGAAACAAAGTTACCAAAGTAAATTATTGATAAACCAGATTAAATGACCGAAATAAATCATTGATTGATCATAAACAACATTTTTTTTTCTCTATTTTTCTCTCCACGTGGATGCTTAAAAGTCGGGATGTGTTCTAAGTGAATGACAACGAACCTACTTGAGCAGCATTCGAAGAGCGAGATCTACATGAACATCAACAAGATCCATACGAAGAAGGCAAATGAGGAAGATTCTACAAAGTAGTGACAGGAACAATGATATCAATTAGGAAGGAAAGGCGAAATAAAAAATGTAGAATGATAAAGTTCAAACATTGGTTGGACTTATCAATATTGTGCAAGTTTTAGGATATGTGGAATCATGAAGTTGAGTGAGACCGACAAACTCAACAAGGTGGAGATTCATCATAATTTTAGCTTGTTTTGTAGTTGGTTAAAAAGTCCTACATCAGTCAGGATTAAATTGTAGCTGGTCTCTGGTTTATTATAAATAGGGTTTGGCTTAACATCCAATATCTCATTTTCCTTTTGTCCTTCCTAATTGTAGACTATTTTTATAATCTTCTAAAATTTGTAACTTTATTTGTTTTGGGTGTTTGGCCTTTTTAGAATGGGAGGATGCACAGGTTCTAAAATGATGAGCAGTTAGAAATTCTAGTGCAATGCCTACAATGGGCTGCGGAGCCGGAGTGTATCATCAAGGGCACCAGACTAACTCGCATTTACATGATCTAGTGGTGGGCAGTGACAGAGGAAATTGGTGTTGTACATTCTCAGACTCGTATCTAACAAAACATCTTTATTTATTTAACAGTTTGAAAAATAAAATTGACTATTAATTATTATGATTGGAATAACTGTAGCAGAAAAAAATAAAACATAATTTCACGGATTTGAGTTTTCAATTTGAGCTGAGATGTGACATTTTTTTAGAGCTTTTAACTGTAGCAGAAAAAGTTAGATGTGACATTTTCTGAAAACTTTTAACTGTAAAAATTTAAAATTAAAAATTCGAATCGGTAAAATGAACGATACCTAAGTATAACTAATTCGAGAGTACAAACTAATTTCTTTCTATCACAATTTTTTTTTTAGTATTTAAAAAACTAAAAAAATATAATTTTTTTTAAGTAAGTTGAAGGGAAAAAGAACTACAAAATTATTTTCAAGCGCATCTGATCCAAAAACATAATATACAAAATAATAATAATAAATAAATAAATTTACATCCAATTCTGTAGTTTTTGGTTCTACAGTTTGTTAAGATGACCGGTTCAATTTACAACCGTTTAGGAATGAAAAAAACGCCAGCCTTTCTTTTTGTACGGAAAACGACACGTCGTTCTCATTTCAGAATTTGCTGTCATTGGATTTCAACGACATACCGTTTCTCCTAACAGTTAAAACACTAAAAAGACCTGCTTGCCCAGACGGCCAGACTCATTCATCAGTTTCGTGCAAAGACTCCCCTGCGACTGGAGGAGCGCCAGCAAGCAAACCTAGCACATCACGCGAATATCTCAATCGGTCAGTTACTTTCTCAAGAATCTCTGTTTTTTTTTTTGTTTTTTTTTTTATATTAGTATTTCTCAGTCATTTTTTGGGTGGGTAAAATCAACCCAAAAACCGAAACCGGTGCCTGTATTTTATGTCATTTGTGGTTTTTAGTTTCACTTAACACGGCTCTTCAACTTTTTGGAGAATTGAAAGGATTAAGATTGTCTTTTTGCTTTTTAAAACTAAAGTAGTTGATCGATTTGGGGTTGGGAAAGTTTAATTTTTTTTTCTTTCAGAGCGTGGATTTGTAATTATGAAGAATTGGTTTGGAGAAAGGAGTGGATTAGAAACTTGTGTCTGGGTTTTATGTCTGTTTTTGACAGAAATTCTTACATAGAGGGTTTAAGTGAGATTAATCAAAATTCCAGTGGCAAGGCAATATTATTTTTCTCTTTTGGAGATCTATATCTTTTTCTGTATAAGATGTTGATCACCATTTACATAGTTGTGCTATTAATGAAGGCGTGCCTTTTGATAGGTAAAGTTTAGATAGAATCATGAAAGCTTACTCAATAAAATAATAAAGAAAAAGTTTAGATAGAATCACAGTTGAAAAACACAGCCACTTTATCCTCAATTATGTAAGTTCAAATTTTTCAAAACTCACGTTTGGCTTGTTTTTCTGTTGGTTTGATGTTTATTTCTTCAGGATGTACAAAACCTCATGTAGAATTACAGACCTAATATAAAACAAGAGGTTAACCTAATTGGGTTAATTCAGTTACCAATATTATTAAGTAAAAGTCTAATTGTGGGGTGGTGGGTTGATTATGCTGCAGCATTATGGAGGCTCAAGTGCAAGAGGCAGTTCCTCCTCAGCCTCAGGTTCAAGTCACATTTTCACTTGGGACAGAAACATATTCAGCCAATGCGAACAAAGGAACACTTTCCGAGCAGCTGGCTTCTGTGAAAGAGGAAAGCATGGCCATACTGAAGGACTACATCACCAAATATAATGTTCCCAATGATGTTCCTGATGAACCACTCGAAGAAAGCTCCTCAGGGGACGATGATGAAATCATTGAGAAGCCTCAAGCCAAGTCTAAGAAGACGAAAATAAACTGATTCTCTTTTGGATGATTGGATTTAGACCCCATAAGTTGTTTACTAAAAGTTCTTTTTTGCTTAGCAGAACTGTTTCAAACAAGACTTGTTTACGGGATTGTTTTCTTCTGTTTTTTGTTTTTTCAGAGACTACGAAATACCAATTAGCAGACTTATTAGGCAGCAAAAAATCGATTAACCCCTTTGAAATTCACAACAAATTAGCATTTGGTATTGGGAAACTCATTATGGCTTACTATTGCAAACGCATTCTATAATAATAACTTTTACAACATTGTTGAAACAAATAAATAAAGAAAGAGACAACAAAAAACGCTAACTGAGCGAACAAAATTGGGCGCATGATGCAAAATCAGGAGAAGTGTATGCCAGCCTTGTTGAACAAAGAAAGCAGATACAAGAATTCCTGTAGGGTGAGCTTGGACGATCTCTTCTCTTCAAAATCGCCCTCCTTCAACACGGCCAAAACCTTGTCTTTGAATTCAGATGGCTCCCCTTCTACATCACCATCCTCCACTTCCATTTCTTCTTCTGCTCCATCATCATCATCATCCACATCCATATTTAGGTCTTCATTGTTGTCCCCGAGTCTTGAAAAGTCCATCTTATTATCATTATCCTCCATCAAACCTTGTCCTGAGAGCTTCAGTGCCTGTACTGTCTTGTAGTTCTTCTCCAGTAAAGTAACGACACTCTTCTGCCTAAAGATTGAACCAAGAGTCTTGTTCTTACGGTTGAAGCATATCCGGAGAAATCCATCCCACTCTTTTTGCTTCACTTCAATCCGGGGTTTCCTTGGCTCAATTCGAACCACAGAGGAATCCACTTTCGGGGGAGAGCGGAAGTTATTCTTTCCGACTTTAAGGAGGTGCGAGACTCGGGCAAGCAGTTGGGTGTTCACAGTAAGACGGCAGTAGACCTTGTCCCCAGGCTGGGCCACCAGTCTCATTGCGAATTCCCTCTGGAACATGATGATGGCACACCTGAAGGAAGGCTGGTGGTTTAGCAACTTGAAGGTAAGTGGTGACGAGATTTGATAAGGAATGTTTGCCACACATATATCGAAATAGGGAAGGTCAGTTTTCAGCACATCTCCTTTGATAACCTACAAATACATGGATTCTCGGTTACGACCAACCTTAGGCAATGGGCAGGTAAAATGCATAAAATTCTATAAAAAGCTTAGTAATTATACACAAAGAAGACAACAATCTCTAATGCAATACCAAATTCATTCTTCAATAATGCTATATTTAATATCAAATTTACAAATATTATACTACTAGGCACCAAATGTGGCATCATATGTCAAATTTCATAGCTTGGTTGCTTATCAATATGTTGATTTTTCACTTGAAAACTACAGCTTTCCCAAGTTCCAAAGCTTAAAACTTTATGAAAAGGAGTAGATTAGCATTTAACATAGAATATTCATCAAAGCACAAAATAAAACAATATATCAACATGTGCAATATGTTGCATCTCAGATGGCCTAATGATACAAAGTTATCCGTAGTCAACAATTCAATTAAGTATTTTTCTTTAGTCAATTCAAGAAGGAAAGGCTAAATATATGCAATTCAATTAATAATAACATCAAAATTACGATTCAAAACGAAGAAAACCTCAATCGCAATATAGGATTAACCGGAATCCAATACACAACAACAAATTCTGCGGATATTGAAACAAAAAACGCGACGCAATGGAAAAAAAGAAAAGATTGGAGATTTAGAAATAAAGAAATACCTTCAACCGATTGGAGAGAGGAGTGCCCTGGAAGCGCCGCTGCAACTCGAGGACCATACGAGGGTCGACCTCGACGGCGATGACCGCCTTGCCGGCTTCTAGAAGCTTCTTCGTAAGGTTTCCGGTACCAGGACCGATCTCGAGGATGGTGTCGGTAGTCTTGATGCCGGCTTTCTGGACGATGGAGTCGACGAGCTGAGGGTTCTTGAGAATGTGCTGTCCCTTCGACTTGTGGAAGGATATGCCTCCTTGGTACGGAGCGTGCGCTGCTGCGTTCGGCTTCGGTTTCTCTTTCCTCGCCTTTCCGCCCGCCATTGTTGCTCCCAATTGGAACTGCAGAGAGAGAGAGAGAGAGAGAGTTACGAGTGATTGTGTTTGGATGTTAGGGTTTAGTGATTGATAGTTCAGACTTCAGAGAAAAGAAAAAAAAAAGAAAGTATTTAGTTAATGATACATATGGGCCGGACCGCAGTAAACGGATCGGGATTCTTTAAGAACTCTACGGGTCGGTTCTTCGAGAGAGAGAGAGAGTTACGAGTGATTGTGTTTGGATGTTAGGGTTTAGTGATTGATAGTTCAGACTTCAGAGAAAAGAAAAAAAAAAAAAGAAAGTATTTAGTTAATGATACATATGGGCCGGACCGCAGTAAACGGATCGGGATTCTTTAAGAACTCTACGGGGCGGTTCTTCCATTTGTGACCCGGTAATGTCAATCATCCTTCCCTTTTTTTTTTTCATATTATTTTGGTGGTTGTTGAAATGACTCTATTGAGCTAGTTTCTTTATTAGTGCATCTTACAGCGGATTAAACGGAAAGCGTATAAAAACCCAGCATAAATAACCCCGAAAAAAAAAAGCTTAAAGATTATATCTGATTGTTATTTCGACAAAAAAATAAAAAAAATAAAAAAAAAAAAACTAAAAAGGTCAAGTTTGATTGAACGGCTTGAATTGACCTTAACATTTGTCTGAAACAGAAACTCTCCCATAGGAGTTTAAACTTGCAAGTGTCATTTCATTTTCCTTTTTCCCGTAAAGAAGGGTAAAACAGGGGGAAAAAATGGGTTCCACTGCCTTGAAATGTACTCCAATTGTAATATGAATTCACTATGTGGACAAATTGGTAAAATATCTTTGAAATGAATTTTCTTTACACGGTGAGATTAATCAGGAACAAGAAGCAATTAGCTAAAATCCTTCCTTTCCCATTCCCTTGTACTATCTCCCTTTCCCTACAAAACCAGGACCTTAGAAATATCATCTACATTTGTGAATTTTTACTCTGAGTTTCCGCAAATCCTAAAGGGAAAAAGCCTCCTCCTCCTCACCATATAACAAACTCAATCCATTTTCTCTAATAACCTTGAAAGTTTCCTTGTCAGCCAATCCGACACGTGTCCGATCTTGGCTTGTAATTCTTTCCTCACGAAGTAAGATTCCGCGTTTGAAAGCATCACTCTCATGTCATTCTTGACTGCTTCCAAGCTCCTATAGTAGTTATTCCTCAACCTTGCCTTGATCAGTTCGGGGTACAACGGAACTGCAAACCTACAACAATTCCGCACATACCCATTATTATAACAATATTCTAAAACATGGAGATACGAAAACATATGCTACTACTACTAGTACTGCACTACATTTGACAGTCAGCTTCTCATGAAACATTTGCAGTATTGTTTTTCACATTTTTTTAATTATGTGATATGATGGTCTAGAATTCAGAGCAAAAAAAAAAAAAAAAAAAAAATGTACATATGATGGTCTAGAATTGCAGGTACTTCAAACATATTTGACTTCACACTATAATAAATAATATGATAAAACAACACGATAGCATCTACGGCAATCGAGCATCCTGTTTTTCCAGGGAACACCTGGGTTAGGGACCTAAATAATGTATTGACATTAGCAGTTACTTGATAGGTTTCTTCAAAAAAATGTTTTCAAATGTGTACCTGTTGCAGAAATCTGTCTTCTGAACAGCTTGATTCATTTGTTGGATCGTTCTGTAGTCCTGCAATAAAAGCAATGAAATTAGTTAAATCTTTGAGATAATACCATCCGGTATTCATAATTATGCCTTCCCCAGTAATAATACCTTATCCTCCAGCTTCGAGAAATAATGCAGCAAATTATCTCTGCTTTCAGAATCGATATGAGGACGCTCCCATAGTATCCGTTCATCATGCAGTTCCCAAGGACAATGACACTGATCTTCAGTGGAATCGTCCTTGTACCGAACTTGATATCGTAACCAGGGGCTGTCCGGAAAGTCCTGTGATCTGGCTTGGGATGCAACAATTCGCCCATCCCACCACTTACCACCTTCCCCGTTCTCGTTCCTCCACCAAACCATGCATTTATCCCTAGTAGTCCACTTCCTTTTAATTGCAGCATCGTACAATGTCTTCTCAACAACAAAATCAGAGAAGTCTCGCAGCTCAGGCAGCGTCAATGTGAATGATTTTCCTAACACATTGGAAGAAGGATCCATGAATTTGAGCTTAATTTTACAGCAGCTCTCCCCAGAACCTGCTACCCATGTATAGTCAAGACTCTCAACCTTGCAAATCTCCACGGCATTCAGGTTTCCCTTAAGCAATCTCGGAGGACATTCGCGTGAGCTGCACGACTCTGCAAACTCTTGGTGACCCTAAATTTAGTCAAACAAATGTAAAATCATACTATTAGAAGCAAATTATCAAAAACTAAACTTCAGAAGATTATAATAGGATAAGAAAGCAAGATAAATACACTATTAAATCACCTGTCTCAAATATACGACGTCATCACCAAGCTGAGGAATATATCGATAACCATCCTCATACTCTGACAACATTAGCCACGATAGTTTTCCAACAGGATAATTTGACATCCTTTGGGCTGATGAACCTCGGTCATAAGTATTATATAAAGCCCGGTGATTTCTAGAGGACCTTGATCTTCGATCAAGTTGATTATGCTCTTTCCTTGAGCACTCTTCTGCAACTTTTGATGTCCCCACTGTTTGATGATTTCCTCTTGAACAGGCCTTCATGTTGAAGGATCTTGTTCTGCGTACTACATCAGTAGCAGTTTCAGGAAAACCAATCACTGAATCATGGTGGACATCGGTGTTTGAAGTATCTTCTTCCAAATCACCGTCACAACCATCCAAATCAGTCTTCAACTTGAACGATAAATGCAAAGAGTTTGATCTATCTCCAGTAGCTTTTGCTACTTGGGTAATTGGATCGTCCTCCACATGGGTAAAGTTATCTCCTGGACTAGCTAGTTCTTTTGCAGCCGCAACAAATTTTAGTTTTGACGGGTTTCTAGGATCAGCTAAGATCCTCGTCTTCGTCTTAATTTTAATCTTCGTTGGGTTATGGGGAGCATTTTCCTGTTCATGATAGTGATTCGACCGAGCAAACCCACTTGTTTCCGATGCATCATCCGTATACTTATCATACGTCGATGGGCGTTCACATCCCTTGTCAAGATTCTCATTAAACGTGGCAGCAGCAACACCAAATTTCACTTTGTCCTCTACCACAAGAGATGACTCAACAAGCCCTTTGTCAGTATTGAGATTCTCCGATGCATTCGTTTCGAATTGTTCCTCATCTTTGCAAAGCGAGACACTTCCATGCTTTTGGATGCTTAAACTAGCGCAAGGTCTTCCCTTCATGCTTTCAGGCGTAACATTCTCATTCACAGAATTCCTCTTTTCCATATGATCATCAGCACTAGCATCCAATCCACTGGATGCATCTAGTAGTAGGATATCTCCAGATCTTGAATGTCTGGATGTGCGTATCTTGACCTCTCCCCACCTAATCTCGTTCTCCTTATCACCCATTGATCCCTCCAAATGAGGCTCAAGACTTTCAGGTTTCCCCATATCTGCATTTTCATGATTGTCTTGGGATAGCTCCACATCGGTGGTTGCCCCCTCCAACGTTGAGGATGGCCCCGTAGAGATTACATGATTCCTCATCTCTTGAGTGATCTCTTGAGGTGCAGAAGATGGATGTGCTAAATCATTTTGATTGTCACATTTGTGTTTTGATTCCTCCGGAGGCACTTGCTTCTTCAAATCACGAAGCGAAAACTTTAACAGCAATCTCGGCTTGTTTTTTATGTTTGATTGAGATTTAGAGATTGGAGAAGGCTTGGTCATTTCCTCTAACTCTTTTGAAGATGGTTCTTCGTCTCTAGGAACATCCTGATGCATATTCTGTAAGTTCCAATCAGATTCATTTTTGTTTTGGATGTTCAAATCCCGTGTCCCCAAGTCGCTGTCTGATGAATCAAAGTCCGAGTCATCTTGGTCCTCTCCCTCTGAAGACGTTCCACTAATTTGGGAAAGCATATTTCGGGCATTGCATGCTGCAAGCCGTTGGGGTCTTGACGTCTTTGCTTTAGAAGACTTTTTCTTCGAACCTTTACGGCCAATTTTTGATTTCTTATTTTTGGAACTCCCAGGTAGTGTACTGGCAGATTCATCCAAAATCCTTTTCTTGACACGCCTCCCAGATGAAGTCATTAAATCAATCTGAATTACAAGAACAACAGATCCAAGTAGTTAATAAAACATAATGGATTCCTCAAAAACAAAGGGTGGGTGGAGGGAAGCAAGAACAGAAACCAGTAAAATAGGACATGAACTTTGACCTTGTGTTGTTTCCTTCTTGATCTTCGAAGGCCGTCTTTATGATCATGCCCAGCTCTGCCATCATCAAATTCTGAATCATTAGAAGAGCTAGAAATACTTTCCTTCTCACCTTCACTGGAATTTTCCTCAGTTACGTTGTACTCAGAATCGCTATCTTCACTCAAAACTTCATTTTCAGGCTCCCAAAGCATGGCATCAATAAATTCTGGTAGGGGCTCAATAATTCTATCTAAATCAGGCAAAGGAGGCATATGATAATCCAGGCCCAAGCTGATTTCCGGGCCAATGGCAAGTCTCATGGTGGAAGGTCGCCACTCGATACCCAGTGCGCCAAGTCGGCGCTGCTGGAACAAAGTCTGATAAGGTTCTGGATATGGCATCATACCTATCAATTTACATCAATAGATCATAAGACAGACATATTGAGCAGGTAAGAATTGTATGTTTTAGATGGGTAGAACCCAGGAGGTTACTTGAATCACAAACTGGGTCTTGAATGTTCCTTTGATAGACGAGAAGTTGGGTCTCCTGCTCCAGATGTAATGCACTTCGACTCAGCATATAAAATATATGTAATTTAAAAAGACTATCTAACATAAACGCATTGGATAAATGCCGAAGCAACATTTAAAAACTTTTTACTACAAAATTAAACTACAAGTATTGAAATATGTCTAAACATAGTTAAGAAATTTTCTGAAATTGAAAGCAAGTCCTAACTATAGAATTACTAATAGCTGGACCTTACACACATAATTTACAAATCACCTCCTTAATAACTTAATACTAACTGCATACTTGAAGTTATAGTTCACAACCAAACAATGTACTAACGAGCGAACATGAATACACAACTAACCTGATCAAGAACATTGCCAGAAGTATCTCTTATGACCGGGCGATAATCCCCAAGAAAGAACTGTTTAAGGATCAAGATAATCGTCATGGATCAATGGGAAGAAATAATTAATTGAAACAATAGAGTTTCGAGCAGTGGACGTATAAGAAAATTATGATACCTGATCATATTTAGAATCTTTTTGAGATTCGCCTTGTCCTGTATTTATCAAGTATATTTGGCCAACATCATCGGAAAGTACAATTGAAGTCCCATCCCTATAATATACACTTGAGATTATCAATCCCTTATGAGTAAGGGAAAAAAATAGAAATTAAAATAGCAGATTATTGTAACAAAAAAGACGAGAAAAGGGGGGGAAAGAGAGCTTACGCAGAAAACTTTCCATCAACCAACTTAAAATCCCCTATTTGGTATATCCGAATAGGCGTGCCCTCCCATATCTAGAAACAGAAAATGCCATGAGCGTCTTAGAAAAATAAGAATGTGAAAAACAATGAGCTAGAATGGAGAACACTAAACCCAAAAACTCACATCCCACACTATTGTTCGGCCATCATACCCAGCACTCATAGCTATCCGAGGATTGAAAGGATGGACATCCAAAACATAGGACTGTAGAGAATATAACAGCGAAGCAATGAGCCAATGAAGCATAGAGAATTGAAAAAGAAGAAAAGAAAAAAAGTGCGATAGAGAATACCATCACGAAGACATGTTCTATTATGATATACAGGAATACATAAAGGGGAAATAAGAATGACTCCCCAAAAGTACTTCCTTCCTAAATTCATTTAACAGTACAACAAGCATATACATAATCCAATTCCAAAATAGTATCATCCGATTTAATTTGTAAATAAGAAACTACTTACAGATGCAGTGTGACCAGTCAAAGAATGCACTAAGCTACCATCAACGGCATTCCAGACACAGATTCTACAATCTGCATAATTAAGCACCATATTTGAGAAAAGAAAATAAAATCCTGTTTAAGAAACAAACAGACTATTCTCAGCAAGAATGACTACAAAATCTATGAATTTTCTCATTCTTCTTTTCCTCCCCTTTCTCGTTTTCCCGACTATGGAAAAAAAGTAAATGGATTATGATGCGGCCCAAGCTAGACTGTATAGCAATTTGGCCTATTGGCATTGTTTTGAACATATAAGAAAAGTATGCCGAGAATCTGCATTAATACATCTTTTCCTTCTGAAAAAACTATAGTAAGTCTTTACCCATAATAGCTGCAAGCACAAAGCGATTATCCAGGCTCCACACAATCATGTTAACACCACGAGGAGTCGGAAGAAATCTCTGACGTGGACCTCCTCTAGAAGGTTGAGGAGGCAGTGGCGGAGGGGGAACCTTTAGATGATATGCACGTGTCCAACGTCCAACTTTCCCCTGAAATGGTAAGTGACATGCAATAGAATAAATTTGAAAGGCCAACTTGTTTTATAATGAATATTTTTATCATGCATTGAACACAAACATATATCTGTATGTTTAATCGTATACATATTAGACTTTTAAGAACTCACATGGGATCTACGAGATCTTGGAACCCAAATAATTGCACTACCATCTCGAGAACAGGTAACTATATTATCGTGACAGAACCTGAGAAGTAAGAACAGTAAGATTTAAGAATAATGCAATAGAACATGATCAATATAGCAGGAACAATAATGAAATACAACATGAGCAAAATAGCAGGAACATCAAAAGGTAAATATGAATAAAGAAGAAGCGGAGGACATTGACGCACCAGGAATTCTTGAATTTTGGAATATTCTCCTCCTTCAAAGAGTCGAATAGTGAAGATTTTGAAGCCACGGCACAGCCACTGCATATGGAAGCAGTAGATTGTCATGTAATTATGTGAATGATCATGTTTTTAATAATCAAATAGACTAACCTGAATTGCACATAATTGACATCATCCTCGTGGCCAGACAATACATCCATTTCATGCATTGGTTGTTCTGGGTCATCTGTGTTAGATTTTAAAGTACTCCAAACCTAAAAGTATCCAAGTCTTAGGTAAGAATATCCGACGAGACATATAACAAAAACTAACACAACAAAAATAAAATAGAACCAGCAGGGATCATATTAACTAATTTGTAAACACACCCTTGCAAACGTGTCAGAGCTACCAGTGACAAAAACAGTTCCATCTGCATTGAAAGCACAGCAAAGTATTTGATGGCTTTGTGAAGCATTGCTTGTAGACGGTCCATTATTTGATGGAACATTGTTTTTTCCTGCGGCAAATATAATAGATGATGAAGTGAACATCAGCCAAAGTAACAGCAAAACCTTAAAAACAATGTAAAGACAATGAACTGACCACTTAAAGCGTCTGAAGGTTTCGGTTGGTATATTCTTGGTTTGCACTGGGAGGACCTAGCATCCCATATTCGACAAGTTCCATCGTCTGATGAACTACACATATCATAGGAAGAAGAGTAAGTAACCGAAAAAATAAAATAAAATAAAATAAAAGTTTCAAGTATTGCCAGCCGGGCGACAATTTGACAACATCAAATAAGATATTGCGTCACAGGTGTCAAGACTTTTTGTAAAGAGCCAGAAGGTGAAGCAATATTCTACTGCAACATGAAACTATGGGAACAATACTGATTCAGACATGTACTGAAAGGAAATTTGAATATATAAATATATATTTAGCAGATCAACCAACCAAACAGGAGCAACAACAGAAAATAGCAACTCTATAATGGGGTCTCACGATAAAAGCTGGAATACGGCATTAGGCCTGGGACTGAATGCAATTGCAGTAACAGCTCCGGTGTGGCCCTGCAAAACTGATACCGGCATTCCATCTGCTAAGCGCCACTGTAGGAAGAGAAACAATTTAGTGGTCTTAATTATGAAAGATAGTGACTTAGTAGAGTGATGGTTACGTACAACTCGAATGACAAAGTCATTTGAACCAGATGCCACCACTGCATTGTTTGAACTTACAGCCAAGTCAGTGATATCACCCTTTAACAACATGACAAAAAAAAAAAAAAAAGATTAAATATTACATTTACAGGAAAAGACTGTAAATCAAAGAAAATATCAGAAGTTTTCAAGGGTGATATGGACAGAAATTACTTCATGCCCACGGCAGCTGGCCAAGCAGAGTGCGGTTTCCATTGACCAAATTTTGACAAGACGATCATCTGAACCGGTAATAACATATCTCCCAGACCGATCAAATATGGCTGCAAGAGACAAGCAAATTCATTTGGGAGAACTTCATAATCTTCATCGAAGTTCTAAGAATCCTAGCTTTATACCACCAGGCCCCAAGTAGAACAAAAAATATTGAGGTAAACACCGGAAGTTCTATAAAAAAACAACAAATAAACAAATAAAACACACATGCACACACATAGAGAATAGAAGCAAAGGCAGCAGCATGAAAATGCATACTGTAGAGTACAAAAACCGCAACAAACTTTTCAAATAACAAAAATTGGTAAGAGCATTTATAGTTGCATTGGTGTTCAAATACTTAGAAATACATCAGTAATTGAGGTATAAACTCATACACTAAGCGCACAAAAAGGCTTGGAAGTAATACTATCGGTGTCCCAAACTGCATACCCTGATCTTACCCAGTGCCCATTTATTAACAATAACTTAGCATGATCTTGTAAAAATGGATTCTCGAAAAGTAAAATACTGATGGAAAGTTTGGTTGATAAGGCAACAGTACCACAATAAACAGCATTTCGGTGCCCTCTTAGCTTCTTTATGTTTTGCATCTTTTGCAGGATAGTTGATGGTTTAGCAATGGCATAACATGCAGAACGAATAGATGGAGCACGATGGTGCTTTGTAAAACCTCCTCCAACTTCCCTTAAACCAAGGCCACGTACTTGACCGGCTTGCATGTGAGGCCAATGTAAGTATGCTGGCAGGCGCTTATCTTGTCTGTTCTCCACATTCCTATCACCTGAGTAAGCAAGAATCAACAAGTTCATAGAAAAGTATTTAAACAATATTTACAATCTAGAGTGGGGGAAAGCAAGAGAAGTGGAAAAATAAAAGAAAATTGCGCTAAGATTAGATGTCACACTACTTGATAATCTAATAAATCATACCATTGTAGTATAAAGGCTACACCAAGATGTGAGCCCTCTAGCCTATAAAACTTTCTACATGATTATTTAATATGAAAAATTTTAGTCAAATCCATGTATTCGAAAAGCAAATGCAACTACAAATTATATAAACCTACAATCAACTTGAAGAATTTGACTTGCCAAAAGCGAAAATTCTTCAAAGTGAAAAACAACAATTCTCAACCCAAAAAAAAAAAAGGGTGAAAAACAACTAAACAACCAATAAGATGAAGGTAAATTTCTGAGTTGTCACATACGCTCTAGAAGTGAAAAAGAACCAGTTCCCAGTAATGTAGGGACATCAGCTGCGTTAGGGGCAGATCTTCCAACCTTGCCATGCGAAGGAGAGGTTGCAACCATTATCAGTTGCTTCAAGAGCTTCACCAAATGATCCTTCCCAATGTGAGGATACCTAAAAAATCAAACAAAACAAATTCGTAGTCACTCAGATCCAGGGAAAAAATACAAATAGTCTCAACCATAACACATAGAAACATCAAAAGAAAAACAGACAAAGTGGTGCCAACTAGCACTTCTATGAAGTAGTGCGTGCACTAGAAACACAATAACAAGTTCAACCAGGATACAGATATTTTGAAAGGCCATTGCATGTTACGACCAGATACAGATCTTATGTAAGATGCAACCCATTTTAAAGTTTGGGATGCTAGTTTAGTATTTTTCACAACTTAATCTTAATATCCTTACTGTTTAAAGATCTACTTGTTCTACTAATTACCCAATCTGGAGAACGGAGATGAATATCATACTTACCATGAAAAAACTACCCTTTTTGAATATGAAACTATGTCAATTGTCAGTATTTAATAATATATTAGGACAATACATGTTCCTAACCACAAAATTTACAAAAGCAAGCCTTTATGTTGTAACACATTGAGCTTAGAACAATCGAAAAACAGGCATACCTCTCCACCAAGTTAGCATAAGTCAACGGGAAAGAGACATCACCATCACCATCATCATCGTCCTCACAACATACACCGCTCCTTGAAAACCAAGCGTGATATCTTCTAGGCAGAAGCTGATGTTCCATAAGCTCGTCCAAGAAGTGTGAAAAAGTCTTCTTGCACGGCCCAGAAGACAGAAAGTGCAAAATCAAAAGGTAAACTTCTCTAAGGTCGACATGGACTTCAGTCTCGACAGAGTGAGGACTACTAGCTCTCTCAATAGCGTTGAGTTGAGTCTTGTCAGCCGTCTTACCGGGAAATTTACAAGTAGCCCTATCAAGGGAAGGCACACCAACAGAGGATGTGCACTTCCAAGGATCCATGTTTCTAGAGCAACCTGAGACATTAAAAACATGTACTTGTTCAATATAACTAATCACTTTAGGCACAATATCAAATCATGAAATGGAAAAATCAAAAGAAAAGTTACCCTCAACTTGACTTTTTTTTTTTTTTTCTTGGCACAATAACAAACAGCACAATGAAATCGAAAAAAAATAATAATAAATCCATTACTGAAATAATCATTACAAACCAATATGGCTAATATAGTTCGCATTTGATTCACCCAGTTCAGGTTTTCAGTTACCAGCACTCGAGTTTTGTGTGTGTGTGTCTGTCTGTGAGAACTTGAGTTGTGGAACCAAAATCAAACGGAGAAATTAATCTTAAAAAAAAAAAAAATATATATATATATATTGGCCCTGGGATTGATAAAAGGGGTATATAATCCAAAATACTGTAATTAGACATTAATCACCAATTCAAACAAAGTATTTGAATAAGTAGATACATATAAATAAGCAATCGAAAGAAAAAAAAAAACACTGAAACTGAAAAATTGGGGGAGGCCATAATGCAGTTACAAGAGGCAAAAGCAGCCCAATCCGAAGGTTAAAAGTAGCATGTCTATTCCAGACTTCACAAGTGAATAGAGAAAAGCACGAGATCTAATTTCAAAGTAAAACAAAAATAAGCATTCAACAAGAAGATTACTCGTCCCCAAAAAAAAAAAAAAATCCTCAGAATTACCTTTACATAGAATCCGCTTGGATAAGAGAGAGGATCAGATTTTGCATTTCTCGTATGCAAAAAAAAATAGATTTCGGACAAAACAGGATTAACCTCAAAAGGGAAAGAATATGGGTTTTGGGGGTTTTCCGAGCTTGAGGGAGAGCTTGTCCGAACGACCAATTTTATTTTAATAAATCATTTTTTTTTTTTTGTTCCAATTTCTAAAAGAGCTCGTAGTTTGGTTTTTTCGGTTGACAGAGGAACAGGAAAGCTGCAAAATGGTGGGCTCAAAATATTTTCTTAAAAAAAAAAACGTATTAATAACGAGAAAATTTTATCACAAAAGTAAAAGAGAACTAAACGCAATGAATAATGTGATTGATTTCACTCGAAATGGGAATAATTAAAGGGCGAAGCAGTGGATACGAGCGCTCCAGGCTTTGATAATTGGGGCGCCGCTAGTGAAATGACAACCGTACCCTTCCACGTACAGTTCTGTCGGTACGATTCCGTATATTGAACCAATAAAAACAGGACAAGTGGAGAAGCAGATACCAATAGATCAACGCCGTCAAGTTAAAAAAAGATCTTTTTATTCCTCTGCGCAACTGATCCATGTTTGACCAATTCATTTGACAAAATTTGCCTAAAATTTGGTAAAGTTCCAGGTTCCTCTCTCTAAAATCCATTGTAGAGAGAGAAAGAAAAGAAAGTTCTTTTTTGCACTAGCGTCATATCAACGCGTCACTACTTGATTGGATTCAACAAACAGTATCCAAAACCACTTTCCTACCTTGGTGTATTTCCCAATTTGAACTTTGTAGGCCCAAACGACACCCAATATCTTATGGCGACATATGTTAAGCTAAGCAAAAATGAAAAAGAAAATCACCAGACAACAACGGCCGGTATTTTACAACTCACACAACAGAAGTTGAGCAGCCAGAGCTGGCTCTTAAACATGTATAATTAACTTCGTTAGCCTAAATGAAGAATCCAATTAAATCATAATCCAAGTACAAAGATTTCCTCTACATATAAGGGAATGGGATTGGTGCTAGGCACGTCAAGCATCTATAAATCGGATGTCAAAGGTATGAGGATGTATCTGCCACACATTCAGAGCCGCATACTCCTCCAAACATTCCTTCAGTTGGGCTTCACTGTATCCCTGCTCAAACCCAAACACAACTCAATGGCTTAGAAGAGAAAGCCCAACAAAATTAGAGAATTTGGAACAAGATTTAGTCATGAATTTAGAAAGCATATTCAATTACACATAATTGGAAACAGAGGACTAGGACCCAAAATGAAATGTGTTAATATTTAAACATCGTAAGTATTAATGCCTCATTCATTTTACCGATTTGAGTTTTTAATTTTAAATTTTTACAGTAAAAAGCTCTCAAAAAATGTCACATCTAACTTTTTCTGTTACAGTAAAAAACTCTCAAAAATGTCACATCTCAACTCCAATTGAAAACTCAAATCCACAAAGTGAACGAGGCTTAAATTTCAGTGCCTACTTCTTTCTAATCCGTTACTTTCTTTCCCTTGCTGATAGGGGGTGTAAGAAGTAGATTGGGAAAGGTGCGCAAAGCCTACCCCTAGGACGTGATCATAGGGGTCTTATACGCTAATAAATGTCTGTCTGCATTAAGTCATAGCTACGTATATCGGGAGACGAAACGCGTCATATTAACCCTACCAAGAGTTATTGGACATTGAATCGGTAGTCTGAAAATAGTTTCGAGTGTTTTTCACGGGACCAAACTTGATACCTCCAATCTATCAAACCACTTGGGAGTAAGCCCAATGTCACTAGGCTACCACCTCGATTGTTATTCACTTATTTGATAGCACATCGGCTTTTGTTTCCCTTCTCTTTAGAGATCAAGTTTACTTAAACAATATCAAAAGAGTTTCAAGTGTGGATGAAGAAGCAAACCTTTCTGGAAATCCAATTGAGCGCATGTGCATAGCTCACGTCCATTCTATGAGTTCTAGCAGCTTCATCTCGCAAGATTGAATAGATATTGGAGATAGCATCCAGACCAGATTTCTGGCGGTCATCTGAGTATAACGAGAATTTTGACATCTGCATTAACCTAAGTGCCTCGTCCACATCACTCTGAGCCACAGTTTCAGAGAATCGGAGTCTTGCAAGTGCCTGTAAACTGTTAATTTAGTTCCTGTAGTAATGATATTTTTGAATGGGGGTAATGTATATTGTGGATAACAAATGATCTCTGATACTCTGCTATGAATGCTATTTTCTACTCAATGGATTGTAGTAAACAAGTGAAAGTTAATTAAGCTAATATATCCACGAAGTAACAATGAGTTACCATGTGTGTTTCTACTGCTCTACAATGAATGATTGCTTCAAAAAATCATCTATTTGTGAATAAAACTAGTTCAAATAATAAACTCTAAGCAGGTAAAAAAATATTTATCAAAACTAGCCTTATTGATTCACTCGACCATTTTGTTGTTTCATTTCCGACCTCAAAACATCTAATCCGAGGTCTATCCAGAACATGGAAGTTAATATAAAGGTCCAGACACATTGATGGATAGTCTAACATCATTTCTTACCAAAATGAGGAACTTAATACAAGTACAGTAATAAAATAATGAGTAAACTGGAACTTACCGCTGATATCCGGAGAATGCTGAGCAGAGTTCTCACAGTTGTATAAGAATGCGGGGTATCGGACTTAGCTTCTTCTTGCCGAATGCTGGAGTAGGCACTAGCAAGATACTCCTCAAGCTCCTTTGGGACAGAAGGAGATAATCTTCTAGCAGCAGAAATATATGCACTGGAAACCAAAGAAATCAGATAAAACGAGCCCTCATCTATATTCAATAACCAAAAAATTTTGGAAGAAAAACAAATTTGTGAACACACGTATATTATCTTTACAAGTTTGTGGCAATAATATAGTCTCGTGTGATTTGTTGCTATGTTTAATCATGAAGATAACAATCCTGTAGATGCTGTTCCAGAATTGCTACTTCAGTTTGCTATGTGAGACATACCGTAACACAGATGGCTCAAGTGGAGTGAAACCAAGAGATGGAGATTCTTTGTTCTGGTGAACATAGACGATATGCCTCGCCATCTCAAGATCACTATCCATATCAGCTCGATCCAGAATCAGCCACAGAAGATCAAATCTTGACAACAGTGCCGGAGGAAGATTAATATTTTCAGCAGGAGTCCTACGCAGGTCATATCTCCCCCTTCAAGAAATATAATGATCAATAGTTAAGAGTTTGCTTAAAATGCTATACAGGAATCTTTGCATGACAAGACTAGATGATGATAATCCATGACAGAAAAGCTACAGCATGGTTACAGCCGAGAGAGGTAGAAAAACAGCACAGAGAAAAGACGACAAAGAAATTGAAATGGATTCATACCATGCTGGATTTGCAGCAGCAAGAACGGCAGTTCTTGCATTCAGGGATGTAGTGATCCCAGCCTTAGCAATGCTGACAGTTTGCTGCTCCATAACTTCATGAATTGCTGTACGATCTAATTCATCCATCTTATCGAACTCATCAATAGCACATATACCCATATCCGCAAGCACCTGAAATACGACAAAACTACTATGACTAACCTCAAAAGACAACTAGGCTAAACAGATGTTTGAGATAGTGCGTAACGATGCAGTTATTTCAACCAAACAAATTCTTGATCCTACTTAGAATTTACAGAAATTTACATGCTTTTAGGATGGTAAGAGCGGCGACATTTGAATGTCACATAATGGAAAAGCACTCAAATTTAATGCCGTGTGGCAAATAACATCTGGAAACTTAGACAGAACATGAATGATGCACCCAAATAGAGTGTCTCACCAAAGCACCTCCTTCAAGAACCATCTCATTTGTCACTGGATCTTTCTGAACAGCAGCAGTTAAACCAACTCCACTGCTTCCTTTGCCAGTGGTGTAAACTCCCCTGGGAGCTACATTAATTATGTGCTTAAGCAGCTGACTCTTTGCAACTCCAGGATCACCCATCAAACAAATATGCAAATCTCCTCTAATCTGCAATTTAAAGAAAAGAGAAAAAAAACCTAATTTATACATGTACACAAGTACTAAACAATTTTAACTTCATTTTTCTAGCAAAACAACAAACATGACCTGTTGAATCCTATATTGAGCGATGCAGATATAAAGATTAACAAGTGGGAACAAATTTATATGATCACAAAAAGGAACCAGTAACAGCAATGTAGAGAGAAAAGGGACACACACACAAAGCCCCAAAGCATAAGAAAAAACGACACAAATTCCTGATATATCCAATTTTGGTCATCATACAAATACCTGATATATCCATAACTTCATACTAAAGTCGGTTTGACGGTAATTGAATGTATTTACCTTCATCCCATCTGTTAGCTTCCTGTGTGGAGCCCCCACAAGGAGAAGAAGTAGACCCTTCTTAATATCTTCATGTCCAAAAATTTCAGGTGCCAAGGACCTTGCCAATTTGTTATATATGTCACCATCCTCAGCTAGACGTGTAATTTGTTCTTCTTCATCTCCCCTAAATTCATACCTGTAACAAGATACAAGTTTAGTAAACGTACCTATTACACCAACAAGTGACAAAATCATTCCAAAAGGTTTTAGCAAGAACTTTCCAGAAAAGCACATCAAAACAATATATATCCGGAGGTGAGTGAAAAGTACAGTGAGAGGTAATTAGATAAGTTTCTTATTGATGCAGCATTTTTTGGTAACTCTGCAGTGAATTCAAACTGAACGAATGTAAAATGCTGCGACTAATGCTTACTCTTCATATCTTTTCTTGAAATGTGTAACCGACATTGCCTCCAAGTAGGTATCTGCAACTAAGCCAGCACGCATTGCTCTAAAACCAACATAAGGAGTAGGAAGGAATATCCCAGATAACTCAACGACGTCACCTGGAGCTGCCTGATCATAATAAAATTAAAAAAAAAAAAAAAAGAGTTTGTAGTGATAACTAAAGAAAGTAGCAATACAGATTAAGCAGAATCAAGCTCTGCAATTCCAAATTGGAATGCAACTGTAAATGTAATTTTCAAATCTGTTAACTGATGTTTCTCCTCCAAGAAGTAAAAATTTGAACTACTTGTAAATGCAAAGGAACTTCACTGTCGAAAAGAAACAAAACAAATTGGTGTAGAAAATGACCCACCTTTCTCGTGAGTTCTCCCCTTAAGTGAACAGTCATCGATCGCGGAATATGTCCCTTAGGAACATGTTCAGAAAGTTCTTGAATTTTCGCCTGAAATTCAACAACATCAACAAATTAGTTCATGAAGGAAAGTTGCTCAATAAGATTATTAACCATATCTTCATGTTGATATGTGTTGAGAAGATAGGGTTTAGTAGTTAGGATTTTTTATTTTTTAAATAAGAAGCAAGAAGATAAGTTATTAGGTTTTTTGAATTTGGGTTTATCTTGTTCGGGTCGTTTCTATCTTTTAGGAAGATTAAGATCTTATCTTGCACCTATTTATTCTGTAGCCTATGAGCATTATTCAATAGAGAGAAAAATTCTCCTTCACGGAAGTTTACATGGTATTGGAGCCATGACAAAAACTGCCATGGTTGGTGCTGCCAAAGGCACACATTCCTCAGAAGGATTCGAAGAAGACACCCAGCGCCATACAACTTCCGATCATTCTCTCCAAATAACCACTCATAAATTGAATGGAAAAAATTATCTAGAATGGTCGCAGTCAGTCAAACTTGTGATTGATGGCAAGGGGAAACTTGGATACCTGACTGGCGAAATCAAACCAACTACTAGAGATGAAATGAAGCAGAAAAAGTGGAGATCAGAGAATTCAATGGTGACTGCCTGATTGGTTAATTCCATGGAGCCGATGATTGGGAAACCATTCATGTTTCTTCCCATAGCCCGAGATGTTTGGGAAGCAGCCCGGCATAGGTATTCGGATTTGGAAAATTATTCTCGGATGTTCGAATTAAATGCCAAGATGTGGAAATCCCAGCAAGGAGATCGAGAAGTGACAGTATACTACAATGAGATGATGACAGGAACTTGACCTAATTGAAGAAGAAGAGTGGGAAAGCCCTAATGACAGCGCCCGATACAAGAAGAAAGTTGAGAGAAACCGCGTGTTTGTATTTCTAGCAGGATTAAATAAAGAACTAAATGAAGTTCGAGGCCGAATCTTGAGTAGAAACCCTCTCCCATCAATAAGAGAGGTCTTCTCCGAAGTCCGCAGAGAAGAAGCCCGCAGAGAAGAAGCCCGCAGGCGTGTTATGCTGAAACCGGCAGAGGATAACCAGCCGAATCTTGAAACTGAGAGTTCTGCACTGGTCATGAGAGGGTACGATCCGGAAGGCGAAAGGAAGAATGGAAGACAGAAGCCGTGGTGTGATTACTGCAAGAAACCATGGCACACACGTGAAAATTGTTTGAAGATTTACGGTAAGCCTACAAACGGAAAAAAGAGGCAAAATGGTGATACTCGGGCCTTTCAAGCCGGCAGCAATGAAACTGAGCAGCAACAACCGAAACAACTCTCCTCAGAAACTCTTCCATTCACAAAGGAACAAATGGACCACTTGTACAAAATTTTTCAATCACAACTTAAACTCCAATCCTTCTTGTTCTTTAGCACAAAAAGGTAATCACTTCAGAGCCGCTTTTTTCAGTGTTGATCCAAATTGTTCTTGGATAATCGACTCCGGTGCAACCGATCACATGACCAGATCATCACAATTATTCTCATCCTATAAACCGTGTGCAGGGAACCAAAAGATAAAAATAGCGAATGGTTCCCTCTCAGCCGTTGCTGGAAAAGAAACTATTGTTATCTCCCCTCTCCTTACTCTCTATGATGTCCTTCACATCCCAAACTTGTCTTGCAATCTCTTATCTGTTAGTAAATTGACTCATGATCAAAACTGTCAAGTTAACTTCCGTTTCTCTCATTGTGAGTTTCAGGATTTAACTTCGGGGAAGATGATTGGCAGTGCTAGACAAGTTGGAGGCCTCTACTCATTTGAAGATGGATCTAACTCTGGAAGGCAAGCTCGGAAGATTTGTTTCAATTCTATTTTTCTTATTAGTGGAAGTGATATAATGTTTTGGCATTTTAGATTAGGACATCCAAACTTTTAATACCTAAAATATTTGTTTCCCAAGTTATTTATCAATAAAAATCCCTCCTCTTTTCAATGTGAAATTTGTGAATTAGCAAAACATCATCGAGCACCTTTTCCACCACAACCCTATAAAAACTCAAAACCATTTACCATGATCCACAGTGATGTTTGGGATCCCTCTAGAGTTGTAACTCCTTCGGGTAAACGATGGTTCATAACCTTCATTGATGATCACACTAGGGTTTCCTGGGTGTTTTTACTAAAAGAGAAATATGATGCAAAACAAGTGTTTAAAAAGTTCTACACCATGGTTCAAACACAGTTTCAAACACAAATACAGATTTTTCGAAGTGATAATGGAAAGGAATATTTTAACTCCATTTTGGGAAATTTTTTTGATGAAAAAGGTATTGTGCATCAAAGCTCTTGTAATGATACTTCTCAACAAAACGGGGTGGCTGAAAGAAAGAATAAACACCTTTTAGAAGTGGCCCGAGCCTTGAGTTTTTCAACTAAGGTTCCAAAATACCTATGGGGAGAGGCTGTCCTTACAGCCACCTATTTAATCAATAGGAATGCCAAGTAGGATTTTGAAGTTTAAAACTCCTTTAAATGTTTTCAAAGAATGCTATCCTAATTCAAGACTTTTTGTTGATGTTCCTTTGAAAATATTTGGATGTATTGCATTTGTTAATATCTATGATCATAAACGTGGGAAACTAGATCCAAAGCAAGAAAATGCATTTTTGTTGGCTATCCCTCAAATCAAAAAGGTTACAAGTGCTTTGATCCACCCACAAAAAAACTGTTTGTAACCATGGATGTAATCTTTTTTGAAGATAAAAACTACATGAATTCTCATCTTTAGGGGGAGTGCAATAGTGAAGATTCGGATTTTAATACTAGAATGTGTGATAAAACCGAAACTGCAAACTGTTCCAGCAGTGGTGGAACTCATATCTGAAACAAGTGAAGAAGTAGATGGAGAAATAAGTTTGAGTGAAAACTCGAATGAGAAAAATATTTTAGATACTGAAAATGGTGGACAACCTCCTTTAATGCCATTACATGATCATAATCATGAAAAACCAGAGATGTCTGCGAAGCGGTACAAAGGGCTTGTCTTCTCGAGAAGGAAAGAAACAGGGAATTCCAACTTGCAGCACTGCCAAAACTCCAACCGAGAATTAGATCATGTGAACTCAGGTAATTCCGAATCTACTTCTTCAATCCATATTGCTCTTAGAAAGGGTATTAGGTCCTGCATCAAACATCCGTTGTCCAACTTTGTCTCATATGAAAATGTGTCACCTCCCTTCCGTGCATTTATCTCACAACTCTCTAGTGTAGCTATTTCAAAAGATGTAAAGGAGGCTCTAGATGTTCCTGAGTGGAAGGAAGCAGTATATGAAGAGATGAGAGCCCTTGAAAATAATGAAACGTGGGAGAAGGTAGATTTGCCACGCAGAAAAGCAACTGTTGGCTGCAAATGGGTGCTCACCGTGAAGTATAATTCAAATGGCTCACTGGAAAGATACAAGGCTCGCTTGGTAGCAAAGGGATTCACGCAAACCTACGGTATTGACTACCCTGAAACCTTTTCTCCAATAGCAAAATTGAATAAAGTGAGGGTTCTCTTGTTTATTGCTGCAAATCTGGATTGGCCTCTACACCAACTAGACGTAAAAAATGCCTTGCTCAATAGAGAGTTGACAGAGGAAGTCTATATGGATGCTCCACCTAGTTTTTCTGAGAAGTTCGGATCAAAGGTATGTAAATTGAAGAAATCGCTATATGGGCTCAAGCAATCCCCTAGAGCATGGTTTGAAAGATTCACAAAGTTTGTGAAAAGTCAAGGTTTTGCTCAGGACAAGCGGATCACACCATGTTCATAAAGGTGTCTACTGAAGGAAAGATTGCTGTCTTAATTGTCTACGTGGATGATATTATTCTAACAGGAGATGACTTGGGAGAGATGAACAAACTAAAGCAGTGCTTGGCTTCTGAATTTGAGATTAAGGATCTAGGATCTTTACGATATTTTCTTGGCATGGAAGTCGCTCGATCCAAGAAAGGGATTGTTGTCTCACAGCGCAAATATATTCTTGATCTTTTAGGAGAAACAGGAATGAGCGGATGTAGACCAGCGGATACACCCATGGTATTCAATGCGAAACTCAAAGAAGTAAAGGAAGGAGTCAAGGTTGATACAAACAGGTACCAGAGACTAGTTGGCAAGTTGATCTATTTATTCCATACAATACCTGATATCGCGTTTGCAATAAGCGTGGTGAGCCAGTTCATGCACTCTCCATGTGAAGAACAACTTGAAGCAGTTTACCGGATATTAAGGTATCTAAAAGGAACTCCAGGAAAGGGATTGTTCTTTAAGAAGAATGAGCACCGAGGAATTGAAGTCTATACCAATGCCGACTGGGCGGGATCAGTCATGGATAAAAGATCTACTTCTGGATATTGCACGTTCCTATGGGGAAATTTAGTCACGTGGAAGAGCAAAAAACAGAGTGTAGTGGCCAGAAGGAGTGCCGAAGCTGAGTATAGATCAATGGCACTTGGGATATGTGAAGGACTATGGCTAAGAAGAGTTCTCGAAGAGCTTAGAAGACCAAACTGTCAACCTATGAAGTTGTGCTGTGACAACAAGGCTGCAATCAGCATGGCACACAATCAGGTGCAACATGACAAGACAAAGCACATTGAAGTTGATAGGCATTTTATAAAGGATAAGCTTGAAGAAGGAATCATTGTTACGCCATTCATTCCAATAACGCAACAAGTAGCGGATATTCTGACTAAAGAACTCCTAAGGCAGAAGTTTGAGTTTCTAATTAGCAAGTTGGGCATGATAGATATCTTTACACCAATTTGAGGGGGAATGTCGAGAAGATAGGGTTTAGTAGTTAGGCTTTTTTATTTTTTAAATAAGAAGCAAGAAGATAAGTTACTAGGTTTTTTGAATTTGGGTTTATCTTGTTCGGGTAGTTTCTATGCTTTAGGAAGATTAAGATCTTATCTTGCACCTATTTATTCTGTAGCCTGTGAGCATTATTCAATAGAGAGAAAAATTATCCTTCACGGAAGTGTACAATATGCTATTAGCATAATTTATGATTCAGCAGCACAAGTGATAAACCTCTTGAAACTTCAGAAACTTTGATGCTCTGAGTTGAAGGATGAGGTTCCCTTTTGTTTGATTTATTGAACAGCGTCTGGACGGGCACCCAAATAGTGGCATGAAAACTCGAGCAGTTACTTCCTGTTAAGCACACGAATATAAATGAAAAAAGCATTAGAAAATGCATATATAAAGGAATGAATCCATCAAAGTGGGGTTCCAAACTAACACTACTCGCATGGTAAAAGACAAAATTTAAGAAGACGCCGAGAAATATTTCAAATTCAGCTTTAACATGGACAAGTGGCACTCAAACTCCAGAAGACCATTCTGATTGAAGGCTAATATACAGTATAAGTGACATTCATCTAACATTACTCGTGCAGTTAAACAGACAGACCGCGTTGCTTACACAGAATTACACTTATTTACCTGGTAAATCTCAAAACCGCATTCTTCACATGTATACACAGCAACCTGCATCAATGGCTTAACATCTGAACAACGTGTGACAATGCCGGATATCTTTACAAGCTGACCGATGTGTGACGCCTTGACCTCCCTAATGGCAAATGGCTTTCCTTTTGAAGATGGACTTATGTAAACTTCACTGCAACACAAAATATGAAACGCAATTAGGGAATGAAGTAGAAACCCCACAAAGAAAAATTGTGCTTGTTCGGAGCTTACAAGTAGCGCTTGATTTCCGAAGGCATCTTCTGATGAGGATCAGAGCCGTCCATATTTTCAGGTCCTTCATCAGACCTTTGAGTCATCAATATGTCATGATCATCATCTGTAAATGCCTCTGTTGGCTCCGGCATGAGCTCATCGATCGCATCCGCAAAGATTCCAATGTATCGCCTAGTATTTTCTGTAACCCTTCTGAGGAATTCTTCGTCCAAGTCCTTGTACTTAAAAAACCAAACAAAACAGAAAATTAGAGTTCCCACTTCCCAATCAAAATCAGAGAGGCATAGATTAAAACTTACATTGAACAAGTCCTCAAGATCAATCTGGACTGCTCGCATTTTGCGGTTTGCCACTTCTTGCTGAAAATTAAGATAAATTAAACAAATTTACAACAGAAAAAATAAAAAATAAAAATAAAGTAGTTTTCGTTTAGTTAATGAGAAAGCTCGAGAAAGAGAAAAAAAAGTATAAATCTTCTTTCCTATGATATTATTAATATCACGTAGTCTAAAAATGCAAATAATAAGCTTCGTTTCTTTTCCTAGGGTTTCTCAGCAACCAAACGGGGGAAATTCACCAGGATGTTCATGTACTTGGCCTCGCCATCGATGTCCGCGAAGTTTGACAGGAACTCTTTCGCTAGGGCTGCGAGTAAAATCAACAAGAAAAAAAACAACAAAAAAATCAAATCAGAACATTTCAGAGAAAGTGAGAGAGAGAAATGGGAAAATCTAGATCTGGCAAACATTGAAGAGTTCTTCTTCTGTTACCTTTGTCTGCATCGAAATCGAGATCCTTCGTCATTGTTTTCTGGGGACGGAGTCGCGGCGAAAGAAGGAGGAGAGAGAATCTGATAGGGGAGAACAACAGCGATGGGAAGGGAGGAGAGCGTCAGTCGGAGATGGAGAAATTGGATTTGGCGGCAAAATGGACTCTTATACGGCACTTTTTGGCGGGAAAGTGCCGGGTTACATTTTGATCTGGTGTCACAGGTCACATTGTTGTAATAGGCGTATAGACGGTCGTGATGTAACAAATACTTTTAACGTGAAATCGGACGGATGGTTTTTCAGGGACACAAAATATTGGGGTTCAAAAAATTTGTGAGTCAAAATAAAATGAAAAACAATATATATGTGGCTGCTGGGATTCGAGCCCAGGTCTCCACGGCCACAACGTGGAATTCTTACCACTAAACTACAGCCACTGTTGTCGGAGATAAGAAACTAATAATAACTAGTATTTGTATTGAAGACACGTGAATAAGAAATTCATTTATACAACCATTTAAGAAATTTTGAATTTATTTTAAAAAGAAATGTGTATAAAGATAACAATTGATCAAAAAATTGAGTAGAGTCATATTTAAAAAAAAATTACTTTAATCATTGAAAAAAGTAAAATAAGAACACATGGGAAAAAAAATTACTTTTATAATAGTAAGGTGAGGAAAAAATATATTTTTAAAAAACATAAAAAATTAAAATGTATTAAAACATTCAAAGAAATAAAAATAAGAATGGGAGAATGGGAGAAAAAAATAAGATAAATAGAGGAGTTGTCACGTGGCAACCTTATAAAAAAGAGTTTGGCTCCTTTATGTTTATTGTTAGATTAGATTATATTAGATTAGATGTTAGATTAGATTGGATTAGATTAGGTAAATAAAGATAAAAGGTAAACTAGTAAAAAAAAAAGAGAGAAGATGAGAGGCTGCCACATGGTAGGAAAGAGTACTATTAAAGAGTCTTTGGCTCTTTTATGTATTATTAAATATAACCGGTGGTGCAGAGCAAATAATAAATTTTTTTTTTCTTTTTTTCTTTTTTTTTTAATAATTAAAATGACATTTTCAGCTTGGTAACACTAGAGGTTCTAGCCAATGAAATTAACTAGAATTAGAACATTTACCTGTTTATTTTGGAGATTTGAATTGAGAACTTAAGTGAATTTATATAAAAGAAAATGCAATAGTAAGAAAGTTGAATTTGAATTTTTGTAAGAGACAACAATGTAGTAAAACGTTTAATTTGGGATTTGAACTATAAAAAAACATGACCTCACTTTTACATGAACTCAGATTTTATGTTTATAAGATGATGTAGTGTGATATAATTAGTTAGACACCAATTTAGACATTACGAATCAGACAAAAAATTTAGATCCCTTTTACATGTATTAAGAAGACTGAAAAGATTAGGATCGATTTATAGGCTGTGTTTGGAGTTGTTTTCGTTTTTATTTTTCATGTTTTTCGAGAAAAAAATGAAAACAGAATAGAAACAGCGTTTGGCACAATTAAAGACAAAAAATGGAAATGAAAACGATTTTTTAGTTTAGTGTAAAATGGGAGAGAAATGAAAAACGATTTTTAGTCGTTTTTCATTTTTTGTTTCCGTTATATCCTCTATTGAGTAGAGAGAGAGAGAGACATTAATGGATTTTTTATACTAAAAACAATCTTTTGAAAAAACTACCAAACGCATTTTCAAAAATGATTTTTGTCTGAGATTGAAAACGTTTTCATTTTTATTTTCATACAAAAAACAAAATCATTTTGGAACGAGTTTCAAACGCACCCTAGTTTTTTTCCCTACGATTTATAGTTTATACTTTGGGACTGTTTAGTTCGCTAATTCGAGTTTTTAATTTGAGTTGAGATGTGAATTAACTTTTATATGAGACCTTTTTACTGTAACAAAAAAGTTAGATGTAACTGTTTCTGAGAGTTTTTTACTATAGCAAAACTTGAATCATAAACTCGAATCGATAAAATAAACAGACTCTTTATTCATTTTGTCCTTTCTCACACTCATTTATTAGAAATGACATGTCGCTTTTGTCATTTAACGATGTCAAGAAGCTTTAGTAAATATAAAGGAAAGCTAGTTTTTGGGGCCGTTCTTTTAACGGATTCGAGTTAATAATTTAAGTTAAAAAAATAAATTTATATGAAAAAAAATATAATAATCCAAAACTAAATTTAAATTTTTATGAAAAAAACCATTGTAACAAAAAAATAATTAATTGAGCGATGATTCAAATTACCAAAAAAAGGGGCTAAACAACATTAAAAATGTGCCGCTTATGCCAATATATGATGGCAAATTCTAAATAACAAACGACATAACGTGTTCAGATAGTGAGAGCATCATGTAACGGACAACAAACTTTCAGAGCAAAGGACAATAGACTTTTAAAATGGAAACGACATGTCTTCTGACCATAATCAATATTGAAACGGGAACGACATATCGTTTATCGTTCATTGAAACAATAAGGCCTATACAAACGGCATGTCATTCAACGTCTGAACTCCTAAGCCAAAAACGACGTGTTTACACATGGAGAACAGCACTATTTGAAACACATGACAGCACGTTGTTTCTCCTTTAAACGACAGAAAATTGTAGTTCATATTTTGTCGTATTCACTTCGAAGTAGAAAATAATTGAATTAAAAAAATAAAAAAGAACTCTCCCCTACATACGAATCAATAACATCTTCACAAAAATCTGATCAAGATATGATTTAAAAGCCATTGGCCTCAAAAGGTGGTGCACATGTATACGAATTTTCACGCGTCAAATAAGAGTTGGAAGATAATTTATCATATTGTACGATGCAACTCATGGGGCCGATGGAGTTAGAAACAGTTGAGAATCTTTCAAATTGAAGAGACACTTCATTAACTCCCGGAGGATATCAGTGAATGACGACCACCTCTGGCGCTCCCACTGGCACTGCAGGCCAGAATCATTTACCGGACGGATTGCATTTAGCAGCCTGCTAAAGTGAAAGTGGTCAGACAGTTTGAAGACATCAAACCTAAACCAGGAAAACCGCTTTTGTTTGAAGACATCAAACCTAAACCAAAGATAAAGTGAAAGTGGTCAGAAAGGAATTAGTACAAGGGAAACTAAAAGGGAATCAACATATCACTGCCTCACCTTTCATGATGTTATTGAGAGATTGTGTTCTGTTCATTGGTCTTTGCCAACTTAGCCTGGATAAGTTTGTCCAAGATGGGGGGCTCTAAAGGTATTGGGTCAAGACAACGTTCTGAAGCAGCAACAATTACCTGTTCAACAAGCCAGTTTTGCAAGAATCTCAGAACTGCTATTTGTAGGTTCTGAAACCAATTAGCAACCCAAAAAAAAAAAAAAAAGAGGAAGAAGAAAGAGCTCATGTATCTGGAAAGAGAAAGAGACAAACATCAACCCCCGACCAAAAAAAAAAAAAAAAAAAAAAATGAAGTCCGTGTAAGTAGCATGAAGTCGGGTTCAGTTTAACTTTATCCCAAGTGGAACGATTTTACTACTGCCTAATATTGCAAAAGACTTTCCTATTACCTCATCTAGCAAAAAGTCAATGGCAGCTTCATCTTCGACAGTTTCCCTTAAAGGAGTCCTTAAAAACTGAATATCCAATTGTATTTGCTGGAATCCACTTCGATTGAAGGTTTGCAGACGAACAAATTCTTGCAGGCTCTTGAGGCAGAGCTTTACTACCATCGTTACAACTGATTCCTGCAATTTGCAAGCAAATTCATTATTGTTGTTCCTACTTCCTAGACCAGTTTACAAAACTGTCAATTGCAGAAGCGTGGTGAGAACAAAGTTACCTGATTAAATTCAACTTTCGTAAAAATTTCAACTTTTTGCTTAAATAATTTTGCCAGATGGGTCTCGAGAAGCTGGCTCCTAGCCCTTTGTGTATTTGATCGATTTAATTTTTCCTCTCGCAAGGGATTGCTCCGTGATGAGGTGGTGCTTCCATTGCTGTCTGTCCGACGATGCCTACGTACCCCTTGCGGCAAAATCTGCTTTACTTCATTTCCTATAGCTTCCAACTAGCACAGGTTAAAGTCGCAGAAAATAAGTTTTGTGCAATGCACGCTAGGACTTGCATAAACACTGAAAGCAACAATCAGGCAGGCAACCAAATTGCAACACATCTTGAACTTTAGAGTAAGAAGGGAAAGCACGGATCTACTTACCTCGTGAAGAAATAAATCAACAAACATGTGAACTTCTCTGGGCTCCTTGTGCTGTTAAAAGTGCAAGATTATAGATAAATTCAAAGTCAAAGTAATGCGTGGTAACTCCTCCTTTCACACACGCATATATATGCTAATACATATGCATAAAACAATTGCAATAGAGGAACCTTACCTTGACCCAATTCAGTACTGTAAACCTCTTCTTCAGGAGAACCGATACCCTCTGAGTTCTGATATTGATATACTGAAAAGATAAGGGCGTAGAATCAACTTATCATCCATAAATATATTCAGAATGCTGAAAAATGAAAGATACACTAATATCTCCAGGAAAAACATTTCTAAACCAATCTTTTTAGGAAAATTTCTAGTCAATAACAAGAGAATTGAAGCTATTTTTTCTTACTAAATATCCAGGATAACATGTTGCGTTTTATGAGATTCAATCACTATTCAGAATTCTAATGCAACCTCTGTAATTCGCAAGATCATATAAATTACAAAAGCCGGATAATCCCTACTGAATTTTGAATATACTGGATTATATAACTCATACAAGATGCAGAAACTTTTCACCGGCAGAGCGAAAAATTCGACAAATTTCTCCAGGAACAAAGGCAGGTCCATATTCAGAGCCTCTTATCCCACCACCAGAAAAGGAAGCAGCTATTTCCTGACAATTTGAAGATGAAACTTCAACACAAACACAAGCTCCGGGGGATTGGAGAAAAATAAACAAACTAATGCTTCATATAGGAACAGAATGCGAAAACTGATGGCTCCTTGCCTCAGTGATTCTTGGAATAGCTGTCTGTTCAATGAAAAGAGAAAGTTGGGCCAACACCAGGACAAGGCCAGCCAAAACTTGGTCATGACTGGATGAATTGTTTCTCCCTGAAAGCAAGATGAAATGATTATCAAGCTCCCTGAAGAAGTCTTGAAATCCTCCCTGAACCCAATCAATTATCCAGTCTTTGATTTTTGCTAGTAGCTCTAAGTTGTCATCTAGAAGTTGGCGGAAATCCTGGAATGTAAGAAAGAAGGGGGAAAAACATGAATGATAGAAAATCTAAAATATACAAAAGCATCAAGCATGCATATAACTAATATATCAAAATAACAATTTTCAAGCACAGAATATTTTTAAGTGATATTAAAAAAAAAATTTCATGACCGTAAAAATGATGTAAAAATGATGTAAATTGATGGACGAGTTGTTTTAGCCCCTAAAGGCTCCGCTTGTCTACATAGTCGACAACTGCATTTATGGTATTTCATATATTACCAGTAACACATCCATACTGCCTTGAAGCACTCTCTTTTTGCTGGCTTCCAAAGCAACTTGCAAAGAATCCTTTTCCACTCCGTCCTTTTGTTCAATATGGGCTTTGGTGAGAGCATCTTCCATTCAAAAATTTAAGTATTAGACTTTCAAGTCTCTTCTGTGTTAAACTGAGACATTGGAAAAGTTCTTAAAACTAAAAACCCAATAAGAATCAGAACACGGGAAGGCCAGAAATGGCAAGGGTAGAAATTCTTCAGAAACGATAATTATTAAGAATCTAGCAGAAACTGTCTTTGGTTAGGGCTAAAAATAAAAACTATGAATGAACCATTAAAACCATTGTAGCATCATCACCTGAGATATCATGTAGAAGATGAGAAAATGTATTTGCAACATACTGTTTAACAACCATCCGAGCAGCCTGCAAATATATGGGGTTACTCTGAAATCATTCAACCTTGCCTCAAATATAACAATTAAATTTTACATTCAAGTATCTGTCAGATGAGAGCTTTCCCGCAAGAAAAAGAAAAGGAAAGAAAAGTCTCACAAGAAATTAATTTAAATTCAGCGTAAACATCGAACAATAATAGCAAGAAAAAAGAAACTTGGGGCAAAACCTCCAGACAATGATCTCGGAGAACAGCCTCATGAACCACACCATCCATCAGTAGTACATCTGTCCATATGATTCCTGCATATGGTGTTTGGTTAATCATTTCCAGAATCATCACTTTTCAGTAATAAAAGGCCAGGCAACAAATGAAAAAGAAACTTTCAAATAATAGATGCCTCAAGAAAACTTACAAATAAATGATTAGAAAATGTAACAGAGACGTTTTTTAGAAACATCTAGCATGTCATTATTTGGTAATATAAAGAAACCCTCTGAAAATCCTGGGAGAAAACGTAGAGAGAGAGAGAAGTGGCATGGTCAACTATTCATGCTACCTACCAAGAACATGCAATAGATCTGCTGAAGAAATCCGATTCTTTACATACTGCTCAGTGGTTTCAAAAAGCCTAAATGAACAAACACCAATTATGTTGCATCAGCAAAATGCATTAATGCTTCTAATTATCTCAAACAACAAAAAGAAATTGGTTAGAAAACAAATACAGTGAATATAAGATGATTCCTTACTTGGAAACCAAGTCTCGTGCAAGTTGAGTAAGTTGCTCGTCTGAATCAGGAAATATTACTCGGTAAGCACAGATAGCCTCTGCAAACTCACGAACAGAAGCCTAATAGAGGAGTGGTCCAATTATTAGGTACAACTCTAGATGACCGCTGATGGGAGAAACAAGTAAGCACGAGCAAAGACTCAACATGAACTAAGTGAAAAAAGAAACATACATTTCGCAACCCAACCTCTTATTCCGGATTTGTTCTAATAACAAATAGGAAGACTCTTCACAAAACTTAAATGACAAAAATCTAAAGATACTTTCAATTGGAAAATTACCAGAAAGAGTAAGAAATATTGAACTTGATGATGTATCTTAAAAGATAAAATACGAATTGTTATATGCGATATGTTCAGTACTCAATATACTAATATGAACCTACAAAGTGTTGCATATGTTAAAGTAATTGGTATTAGTCTACTGGATGCCTACACAAGTAGCTTTATTTCTGTGATTGCATCCATTTCTTCACACCAAAACAGCCGAAGATGACAAAACCAAAATTATGCATGCTGTTATTACTCACTTCATGGGCGTTAGATGGAATTGGCATCGATGCATTTCTTTGTTCAGAAGGATCACTGGAATCCACTGAAGCAGAAGATATATCTTCCACATTAAGTTGAAGGTCCACGAGGGACTGTTCTAGCTTTTCAAGTAGCTTTGCCCGTAGGCTGTCCACCTGCCAAAACGTGGGTTTTCTGTCATCAAATGCACAGGTTATATTAGAGAAGATACTGAATAGATATCAGATCTTTCCTCCAATTCCTGACTGCAAGAGTAATCCAGCATGGGAAATAAACGTCCAAGTATATGCTGAAAATACTATAAAAAATGGAGTGATAAGATATTTGAAAAACTGATAACACTACAAGAGGATAGATTTTTATTTTCTCTTTCTAAGTTCCTACTAATTATTCTTTAACATAAGCCTAAGGCCAGCTTCAAAATGCAACCTTAATAAAAATACTTTAAGCTGTAAAATCGTTATTTAGAAACAAGTGAATTACAAACCGGGAAATCCAGCTGCTTAAGAAGCACTGCAGCCTCAGCTCTTGCTTGTATGGATTCAGAGTCTGAGAATAGCTTCCCCTGGAAAAGGAAATTGACATATCATAAGGCACGATTTTAGATCAGCAAAATAATTAAAAAAAAAAAAAATTGTAATTGGTAAGTTACTTGGGAATGAAATTGTACTGTTCAAAACTGGAATCCAGAATATCATATGAAATGATGAATCTTTTGGAAATCAAGGTTGTGTCGTGTTATAGTATAAATCAGTCAAAATTAGTTTTTCGAAGCCCAAGAAAACAAGACATGTTTATTTGATAGGATTAGATGTTACCATTTAGCATAGGAATTAAATGATGTCCAAAGAAAATAATTAATGTTGATTCCAAAATTGGGTGAGGTCACCGTCAACTGTACAGAATAGACGAACTTTCACCTGCAGGTTCTTTGTAATTATGGCTATCGCTTCCTCTGATGCCCTCTTACAATCCTGGAAAGACGAGTCTCCATATGCCTGTCAAGCAATTATGAGAGGGATTTCAATTCGGGAGGTAGAGAATTAAAAACAATGTGTAACAAAAAAACACACCAAAGAAGAACATACAAAATGAATCAACCGACACTGAAAGTAATTTGGGAATCAGAAGTAGACCTTAAAAATTGGCATTGCTCCGGTATAGAACCGGACTGCGTCAGCATAAGCCTCTGATTTGATACACTTTCCCAGTCTAGCCGGTAGATCGTATATGAACTGCTCTTAGCACAAGAAAGAAATCTCTCTAACTCTCACATGCCCAAACAATAAACTAGCATAAAGAGATATAAATTTTGATCCAATTCCAAAGGAAGAAATAAAGGGGTCTATAAAATATTTAGCAGTTTAGCTTGAAAATTAGAATACCATTAATGGTCTATTCCCAAAAATGTATTGCTTTACATGAAACATCCACATTCTCTTGCGTCAATAAATAAAGACACAACATAAATCTCTCTAGGGGGCACAACAAAAAACTTTTTGCATAAGGAATTTTGAAGATTAACTACACCTACCCTCCTGATAATCAAGGAGGTAATGTCATACACAAAATTCAAAATCTTAAGTACCTGAACTTTACGGAGAAGGTTGCATGTGCGATGAAGTTTTTCTACATGCTCTCTCTTTTCGAACAAAGAAGTGTTGACGTGATCACTTCTAGATTGCACAGACATTATCTAAAGTGAATTGGCACAGTAAAAGTTACTCACATTAGGTTTATCGCTAGCTTATATCTTACCCTCAGATTGCAACCAAAAAAATAGATAAAATATCACACCACATGCCTTATCAAGGAGTTGTTCCATATTTGTTTCCATGCCCACAATCTTACTTTTCATCCTGTTGGGAAGGAAAAAAAATATAAAACATCGAGGTATGCAGTCTCCAAGACTAGTAATTCCATCAACTTTTATTATAGCAAAATAAATCACAGCACTCAAAATCCAAAGAAATAAAGGGAATAGAAATGCTACCTTTTAATTGTGTCTGTAGCACTGATAAACTTGTTATAGTTTTCATAAACTAGCATCTGCAAGTCAGTGTCAAGATTCTTTATCTCGGCTGCCATTTCAACGTGCCTCTGAAGAAGGCCTTCCAAGCTCGACTTTTGAACCTGAGAAATCAAGAAGATTGAACATTCTAAAGTAATCTTCCGTACCCTTAAAAACAAATTATAATTTCTCAATTTGTTGCTACCATAATTCACAGTACATCCATCACCAGTTGTCATGATTCAACATTTTCATGTGACCTTCTCGATTCAGTTCTAATCCCTAGCAAGAAACTAATCAAAATCTTGATGAGAAAAATCAAAGGTGCACAGAAACCACATTATGACCTCTCAATTTCCTTCTACGGGCATAATTCACGGCATAATCATCACTACTTCTGCACCTCCACTGTAAAAGCAGCCACCCATACCTGATGCGATAACTAAAATTTTACAACAAAACCCCAATTTTCTTCCCGCATTCCGAATGATATCCTGGTTTAAGTTCAATTTCTGATAATATACATTCTAAATGAGCTTTTGAGCTGTCAATGCACGATTTCACACCATTTTCACACAAAACCTTCTCGATTTAGCTAATCATAGCAAGAAACTGATCGAACATCATCTACACACACATATAATCTTTACACACAGCTGATTCTACACATATTGGTAAAATTAGAGACGGAAATGTGGATGGGCGTACCAGGAGATTCATGTACTGATCGGGATCGAAGGAAGCGGAGTTGATGGCGTCGAGAGAGGCGTGTGTGGCTGGGAACGACGGCGCCGACGCCGAAGGATCTGGAGCGTAGAAGCTGGAGAGCAGATCCCTCATTCTCTTGGCCTTATCGTCCAGAGGAACGTCGTCGACTTCCATTGTTGTTGTTCTGCTGCTGCTTCTTGGTTGATTCTGCGAATCGCTTTCTGATAAGTTCAGGAGTGGATCAAAGTTTCTGGCGGTGGCGAACTGTGCCGGAAGTTTAAAAGAGGAAGGAATTGCCGGTTTGGGAGGTTTGGATCAACGACGAAACGAACGGTTGATCTCTTTCTATTGTGTACGACAGTAAGAGTAGGACGTACGTTAGTCGAAACGACGTCGTGAGCAATGGTGCAAACTAAGGCCTTGTTTGGTACAACAATTCAAATTGTTTATTTGATTTGAGTTTAGGTGATTTGAATTGTGGTGAATTTTGTGATTCAAGCTAGTGTTGGATACGCAAATAAATTATAATTTAAATTAAAAATAAAATATGAACCGTGTTTGGATAAACTGTTGAAAACTGTCATTAGAGTTTTGTAACAAATCTTATAAAACATCATTGTAAATAACATTAAAAAGTTGCAATATGGATAGAGATTTGTTTCTCTCTTCATTATGAACACATTAAAAAATTATCTCAATCGAAATTAAAATGATAAAGTTATGAAAAAAAATAGAATCTGAATTGTTTTTAATGTAGAAAACAAATATGTTTATTAGCATGCGTTTGGAGAATAGAAAGAAAAGAGAATCGAAATTGGACGATAGGTTTTGGAGGAAAAAAGAATAAATAAATTTTTTTAAAAATAAAAATAAAAAAGTTTTGGGTTGACTATGTTTGGTGTAAGGGAGACGGAGGAAGAGAAATGCATGAAGAATTGTTTGGTTGGACGAAGGAAAAATAGAGGGATATGCTCTCCCTTTTAATCAACCAAACTTGATTCTTCCATTCAAGAAATCCACTAAGTACTAACATTCAGCCCATTTGTTTTACCAGTTTGAGCTATAATTCAAACATTTGTGCTACAGTGTTTTATTTTATAAAAATGATTTTTTGTTCAAATTTATGAACCAAACAGATTTATTGAGTTTTAAAAGTATATTACCCTCCAATAGTAACGGAGCCATGATTTATCGGTAGGGGCTAATTTTTTTTTTTATCAAGATTATACTAACATGTATATATATATGTAACAATTTATGTTTATTAAATGTAGAGAACTATTAATGTAAGAGATGTCAAATCTAATTTATACACATACCTACTATATTAAAATCAATATCATTATATTAAAACAAAGAAAGCAAAAAAAAAAAAAAAAAAAGCTATGCCCCCCTCCCCGAGCCCCTTTGTCTCTATGAGTGCCGTCTAAAGAATTTATTAACAAATTATACAAACAGGTAAGATAGTAATTAACTAAGTGATTATCATTCATCCTCTCAACTCTCTATCTATGTTACAAAATAATTTTAAAGATTTCAATAATCCTCTTCATTCTTTATATTCTTCATCCCTTCAACTCTCTACGTCCTTTCTCTACTCCACCTCTCTCACCAAATGGCATAGTATAGGGGAATTAGAAAGGAAAAAAGTTGTAATACGATGGCCCCCCACTTTTAATCCTTAAAACTTTGAAAGAATATAAAAGATAACAAGTGTAATAAAACAAGTGGGATGCAAAATAACTATTTGACCTTTATCATTCCTCGTACTTCTATTTATACAAGGATATAATTGTAAAATACACTAAATTAGACATTTTTTTTAAAATTCATATTCATCAAATCATTTATTAATCATGTAAAAAAAATCAATCTAAATATGTCATATTTATCAAACTTGTCATAAAATATAAACCCGAATATAACACATATATTATAGAGATTGTCACAACTAATCCATATAACTCGTTTAAATTAGTATTTTAAATAAATAATTGACACGAGTGTGGCCCATTTGATATGAGTGTAGCATATTTGACACAATTATAACATTTAACACATATATTGATCAATTTATCTTTTTTTTAAAAGTAAAATTTGATCACCAAATTCAAAATTAATATCTTTTTATTTAATAAACCATATAAACCTTTACGTTATATATCATATATAATTGAATTGTAAATGATAGATACAGTGCATCGTGCTATTTTCGGATCACTTCATGCTAAACATATTAATCTAAACCCGACCTATATTTATATTGTCAACCGAACTATGATTCAAACTTATTAATATACTAATTTTGTGTGTCATGTTGTAATATAAATGCAACCCATTTGATATGATTGTAGCATGTTTGACGTGTTTGACACAATTATGACTTGTTTAACACGTGTATTGATCAATTTATGGTTTCTTTAAATAAAAAAGTAGATTTTTTTATCACCAAATTCAAAATTCATATTATTTTTAGTTAATAAACCATATAAATCTTTATATTATGTATATCATGTGTGATTGTGTTGTAAATGATCATGGTAATTCTGATCAGTTTGTGCAAACACATGTTAATCCAAATCTGAACCGTATTAATATTGTCGAGCGGATTATAATTTAAACCTAGCAATATCAAACATAAACACACTAATTTCGTGTCAATTCTCAGTCGTGTTGTAATTTTATGATATATTGCCATTTGCCACCATTAGGATTAGAGGATATTTGTTTCTTATATTCGTCACTGATTCTGAATTATGATTCATTATTTTTTACAGTATTTTTTTCTCACAAAAAATACACGTAAAACGAGAATAGTTATGAATCATGATTCTGAATTCATGAACCAAACGTCTACGAAGTATGTGGTATTTGGTTAACACATGCTCTCATTCCTGTTGGATCTTTTCCCCTTGGTATTAAATGTTTAGTGAAGATTTCACGATAGTTCATCTTAAATCTCCGTTATCTTTTACCTTAAAATCACAACACTCATAATTAATGATAAGAAATTCTCATATGACAAAACTAAGACACGGATAAAAGATAACTGTAAAACTTTTTAATATTGTTTTACGTTTGACGTCTTGACAAACGAGAGGATCGTTAGAATGTCTAATGTGGCTCTTAGCAACAAAATTTTAAAAAAAAAAAAAAAATAATACATGCCTAATGTCTCTTGGCCATTAACGGATTCGCTATCACAAATTGAATTAACGTAAAGACTATCTTATCCTTGAATTTATATAATTGATAATTTAACATCAAAAACCAAAGCGAATCTTGCAACATTTATGGAAGGTTTTTGAGAAGTTCGAAGATAGTAAGTCCGAGATTTGATGAAAACTATGCATGGAGATTTTGACCAGAGAATATTAATAAATTTGAAATAATAAGGAGAAAATTAAACAAGAGTGACAATAATCATCATATTAACTTTCCTAAAAGAATATGACATTAAAATGGAAAATGGAACAAATTAGAAGATCAAATCATGCTCGGATCTACCATATAGTCCCATTGTAAAGCCTTTTTGCTTGTCTTTTTCAATATTTATTATCTTTAATTTTTTATCTGCCAGGCATGATTATTTTAATTAAGGCAAGCATTACATTGCTCTTTGCACCTAATATTCTCCACTAAACAGTTAGTTAATAATAGTCGTATTGGACACATCCAAACACAAAAATTCAGAAATATTGACAATTACAGTTAAGTATTTATAATTTCACCAATTTAAATAAGACACGTGTCAATGAAAAGAACAAGCGTAAAATGTTTTAAGAAAGTTTAGCTGGCCAAGCCTCTTTGGCTTAGCTTATAGTTATACTAAAATTACTCAAATAGGCTTGTATAGATGACTTTGAAATTCTTCAAATCATCCAATCTATTATTACAACAATAAAGATATTGAAAACCTATTCGTCACGTGACTTTACAAGCTTGCAACTTGTCAGCCACCTTTTAACCTACCATTCAACTGAATACCTAATAGTGTTCTCATTAAAAAACAAAAAAAAAAAAGAGTATAGGAAATATTCAAAGGAAAAAACAAAAAGTTTGTTATGAAGAAATTAAAAGAAACACAAACATATCATGTATTGCTTAAAGCTTACCCTTTTTCTTTTCGTTGAGCAGGTTTAAACGTCCAGCCTAAATGTGAAATACATGTAGATTTCATGAGGTTGCATCTACCTAATGGAATTTTGATTAAGGATCCGTTTAGTTTGTTAATTCGAATTTTTAATTCGAGTAGAGATGTGACTTTATGTGAGAGCTTTTTACTGTCGCAAACAGTTAAATGTAATTATTTATGAGAGTTTTTTACTGTAACAAAACTCAAATCGGTGAAATGAACGAAGCCTCAATTTAGCCAGAACGTGAGGATTCATTGGTGTTGTATGAAACCGACTCCTGTATCGCTCTTTGTGTGTCTTTATACTGTCTTCCTAATAATACTATGACACTTCAATTAAAGTCTGAAAAAAAAAAATCACACTACGAAAAATGAGATAAAATTACTGTGTGATAACTTTTTATTAATATATAATGATAAAATATCTAATCTAAATAATGATAAATAGCAGGGACATTATTAATTATACTATTTTACCTTATAGTTTGATTTTTTGTTTTTCAATTTATCCATTTATTGCAATTTCATCCATTGCCCATGAAATTAGTTTGAAAAAAAGAATTCTCAAAAGGAATGATTATTCTTCTCTCTGATTAGATATGATTACTTAAAAAATAAAAAAAAGGAATGATCCTTTATTTATTTATTTTTGATTGAGAAATTCAAAACAATAAATCATAGGATTATTTTTATAAATACTTCTAAATTATGTACATTATTTTAAAGTGTCTCTGATTTTTTAAAATGATTCAAGACACTCTTTAATGTATAGAAAATATATTAAATGACCTATACATCCAATTCCGTGTATAAACTTAACAGAATGTTGACGTGACATGACATTAAAAGTGTAAAAAAGGCATTTTAAAATATAAACCTTAATTATTAATTAAAAAACCTATTACCTTAATATAAAATTACACAAATCAAATAAAATTTAAAGACTAATTAGGAAAAAAAAAAGAATAATTAAAAACAAACAAAAAATCATTCTTCTCTCTGATTAGATATGATTACTTAAAAAATAAAAAAAAGGAATGATCCTTTATTTATTTATTTTTGATTGAGAAATTCAAAACAATAAATCATAGGATTATTTTTATAAATACTTCTAAATTATGTACATTATTTTAAAGTGTCTCTGATTTTTTAAAATGATTCAAGACACTCTTTAATGTATAAAAAATATATTAAATGGCCCATACATCCAATTTCGTGTATAAACTTAACAGAATGTTGACGTGGCATGACATTAAAAGTGTAAAAAAGGCATTTTAATATATAAACCTTAATTATTAATTAAAAAACCTATTACCTTAATATAAAATTACACAAATCAAATAAAATTTAAAGACTAATTAGCAAAAAAAAAAGAATAATTAAAAACAAACAAAAAAATCAGGTTGATTAAGAAAAAAACAAACAACCAACCACAGATCTCTCGAGTCTTCCTTCCCTGTCTCCGGCCATATTCTTCGTTCACTGAAGGAAAGCAAAAGAAATCACAGATCCATCCTCTTATCGCCATCGTAACTCGCAACTCACCACGTCGGGCTTTGTCGCAGACCCACCAGAGGTCATCGTTATAGTAGACCCACCATCCTAGCCTCGAGCCGGCCGATCCACCACCGCAACCCACAACCATTGCGTGATATGTATTTTATGTTTTTCTAATTTTTGTTTTCTTTGTTTGTAATTAATTTTTAAATTTTATTTGATTTGTGTGATTTTATATTAAGGTTAATAGGGTTTTTACTTAATAATTAAGATTTATATTTTAAAATATATATTTTACACTTTTAATATTACGTCACGTCAACATTTGTTAAGTTTATAGATGAAATTAGATCTAAGGAACAATTTAATTTTAAAAAATTAAAAAATCTTTTAAAATAAGGTAAGTAGAGGATATTTATGAAAATAATCTTAAATTATATACAGTGGAGGAGCAAATAAAGAAAGAAAAAAGAAAAAGGATAATAAAACTAAAAGAAAAGGAAGGACCGAGGAAAGCGGCACCCGCAATACAGAGCAAGTGGCAAACTCGTCGTACATTAGCTGGCGTCATTTCGCACGCCAGCCACGACACCGACAGGTTCCGACACCAAACTCGTGAAATTACACCACGTAACCAATAAATAATCTAATTACCCTTTTTCTTTTTTCGAAAATGGCATTTTTCCTTTTTCATTCCCAAGGAAAATAATTAATTAGTAATAAATCCCACGCCGATTTTTCCCTATATAATGGCCCTCCCTAGGCTTACTGTAACCTTCTTTCCCTTAGCATTTCGTTCCGCATATTCCTTTCTCTCTCTATCTCTGCGTCTCAGCTAAGTTTTCTCTCTCCTCTTCTTCGTTTTTTGATTTCGTCTTCGTTTTCGCTTTTTAGTTCTCTGTTTCTCTTGGTTTTCTGGGTTTAAGGTTCTTCTGTAAGTTCTCTAGGTATTAGGAGATCCAAATATTTTGGTCTCTGCGATCTAGGGTTTTCGAATTGAGGGGTTTTGTTCTTCCGTTCCTTCGGATTTGTATTTTCACCTTTCGATTGGGTCTAGGGCTTGAGAATTCGTTGATCTTCTGAATTAGACCAATGAATTTAGAATTTCTATGACATTTTCTCCCCTGATGCGGCGAATCCGTTTGCTCCACTCGTTCTCTGTCGTGTTCCTCTACTGGTTCTACGTTTTCTCATGAACTAATTCATCTTCAACCGAAAATCTATTCAATTCTCTGATTCATATTCCATTCTTTTTGTTTCAATTCTGATCCCCAGTTTTTTTCCAACCTAATCGTTTAGATTCCTAATTTTTACCCCGAGTATTAAGAACTTTCCTAATCTAATTGTTGAGTTTCTGAGACAAGAAAGACGACATATGGCATCGATTCAACGCCAGGCGAGCTCTGGATCGGACGGGTCTCCGGTGATCGACGAGAGGAAGAGGAAGCGGATGCTCTCCAACCGCGAGTCGGCGCGGCGGTCGCGGATGAGGAAGCAGAAGCAGATGGAGGATCTGACGAGCGAGGCCAGCCGTCTGCAGATCTCCAGCGGTCAGATCCGGCAGAGCCTCAACGCCAAGGAGCAGGCCTACGTTCAGATGGAGTCTACCAACGATGTGCTGAGGGCTCAGATCATGGAGCTCACCGACCGCCTCCGCTCTCTCAATGCCGTGCTTCACGTCATAGAGGAGGTCAGCGGTCTCGCCGTCGACATTCCCGAGATCCCCGACCCTCTCATGAGGCCTTGGCAGCACTCCACTCCCGTGCAGCCCATCACTGCCTCAGCGGACATGTTCCTCAATTGAAACTGCTTTGTGTTATCTATGGCTTCTGTGGTCTGGCTTTGTTGGTTCTAGGTTTATTGGTTGTTGGTCCTTTTTTCGTGTGGTTAATTTCTTGTTTTTTTTTTTGGTTGTTAGTTTTAAGGATCTGTCTTTGAATTATTAGGCCTGTTTATGGTTTTCGTTGGTGTTGCAGTTTGAATGTACAAAGTTTAATCCTTGGCTTGTCAAATGGGATGATTGTGCTTTCTTTTCATATCTTGGGGCCTTAAATGTGAGATCTTTGGTGTTTTCATATGATTTTGGGCATGCAAAATCATCAAATGCGACATTCAAAAAATATATATATATATCATCAAATGCGAGATCTTTATGTTTCGAGATCTTTATGTTTCTAATTCACTATTTCTCAATCAATCATTAAATGATATATGAGATAAGGATTGTTTTAAATTAATGATGTTCTAAATCCTCGGTTCAGCCGCCGGATTCGGTCGCTGGGTATATGGAAAAACTATTGGAGATGCAACTTTATCCGAATATTTGACTACCAACGAAGAAAATATAATGAAATTATTATTCCGTTTGTGACTTTACTTGTTTAGTAGATATCCAGACCAAAACAGACAAATGATGATCATTATCCGTACCAAATTTAGAACGGTTTTCCTCTCACTTTGGTATACTAATCAAAGATACAGTTGTCATATATTGTCCAAAAATAAAGAGACTTTCCAAGGATTGACCGTAAAAGGTAATAACAATTAACTAACATATTCTCAAATATTTCGAGCAAAAAAAAAAAAAAAAAACATATTCTCAAATATCACCAGCCCTCCGGCTGTTGCACCAAAGTTCCAATGACAGAAGCCCCAATTTTCTTTTTCTTTTTTAGGTTATATGGCCACCAATATCCACAAATAACTGTTTCTTCTCCTCAAACATTTCAAGTTTAAACTTTAAAAGGAACCGAGATGTGATGAATACATAACAAAGGCCTCGTACTATATATATCTCCCACTATCTATTTATATATATATATATATATAAATTTGTAAAGATTTATAACGCAGGTTTTGAAATTCTTTAGTCTCTTTTGTTTTTTTTTGCCCCCAAACAAAAGTCATTCGAACATGCAGAAAGCGTAAACAAATGGAGGTAATAACCAGGATTATGGGTTGTGCAATTACATCATGAAACGCGTATATAGGGCCCTAAACAAACGTGAAGAACAAACAAGTACTATCCTATGTAGCCAGAGTAAGTAGGAAACCATTGAAGTTGAGAAAGCTTAGAACTGGGGTTCTGATGACCTGGCCCAGCAGTGAAACACTCGGCAACACGCTTCTCAAAGACTTCTACAAAAAGTGGTTGAAAAAGCTGTACCTCAAAAGTTATACTTATGCATGACAAATTGCTTTGCACATGGTATAATGACTGTATTATAATTACATGATGACCCTAGCTAATAACTTTGAACCCATCTATCAATTAATTCAAACCAACATGTGGGGAAAAAAAAAACATGTGAGATTATTAATTAACAAGCAAAAAGTGCAACGTATTTAACAGCTAGAGTCTAACAAACACTTGAAAAAAAAACAAAAAACAAAAGGATTTATGCTATGCTTAAAACATAAGCCCACTAATGGAAGTTTCATAATTTACTAACAAACACAGTTCATACTTAAAAAACTCCGTCTCTATTTTAATTATTTCGTTTATTTGTGGAATATATGCCACGTGAAATTATCATCCAACATTTGTTTGTATACCAATAGAATAAACTCAATGGAAGTAATTAATTAGCAAAATATAATTCCATAAAGGTAATAATTTAATAAAACACGAATAAGTGCGTCATCATATAAAAGGTAAAGAGTCTAACAACAAACTCATAAAAACTGTTTTTATATTTTCTTTTTCCAATATATGGAAGACGAAAGCCCACCGAGTGAGAGTACTGAGTCTACGGAGTTTGAATTCAATCCTCATAAGTACGGCACTCATCGGCCTCGGGATTGTCTTTACAGTACTCCTCCAATGAATCGGTTGACTTCTTCTTGTCCCTGGCGTGGCTGGCGGCGGCGCTCAGCTCCTCCACCTCGTCCCACGCCGCCACGCACTCCCCGCTCGCCGGGTTGTCCGAGCACGCCTCCTCCGCGTTCTTCACGCTCTCCGCCACCTTGTCCGACAGCTTGTCCGGCGCCGCCATAACCGGCCGTACGACCATCAATCGACCGTACTGGCTCAGCCTCTTGTTGTAATTCCACGGCTGAACAGTTCTGATATAGGCATGGGGTACTTTCGGCGACTCTGCGCCTGATTTGGCTACGATTCTTGGGGCTGAGAGGCTCACGCCGGCCATTGTTGTTGCCATTTTTTTCAGTGATTTAGGGATGTAGTACTAACTCCTTCCTGCACTATTCTAATGGCTTTGGCGGTGATATGATATTGTTGGGTTATAATTTGGGTTTGGGTGGGTTATGAGCACACAATTCTGATCAGGTTCTAACCAATTGTGTGATTCCACGTCATGCTTATGCCAGATATTTCACGGGATGGAGAAAAAGATCTCGCTTTTCGAGATGTGCTATTTTGTTTTTCATCTACACTTTGGCAAAAAAAAAATTAAGGGATGTTCTTTTAGAGTGTAGATGCCTCATTCATTTTACGGATTTGAGTTTTTAATTTGAATTGAGATGTATTATTTTGTGAGAATTTTTTACTATAGTAGAAAAAGTTAGATGTGATATTTTTTAAGAGCTTTTTACTGTAAAAATTTAAAACTGAAAACTCGAATTAGTGAAATGAACGAGACATTTGAGTTGAATTTGAGTTATAACTTGAGTTAAAGTTATAATTTGAGTTTGTGTTTAGTTGTGTATATTTGAGTTATAGTTTGAGATAAAAATCTTTTTTTGAGTTTGTATTTGAGTGATTCAAAACTTAAATTTGTATTTAGATAGTATTTTAAAAAAAATTCAGTCGTGATGAAAATTTTTAATAGGGTATATGGGTGAGGTTTTATTCATCTTTTCGTTGTCAAAGCATAGAAAAAAAATCATCTCAATAAGGATTAAAACGTAAAAGTTATAGAATTTTTAAGAATAGAAAAAATATTGTTCATTAATTTGAGTTCGAGTTCTTGAACTCAAGTTGAAGGGGACACTTGAACTAGAGTTTTAGTCCTAAACTCGAGTTCAAATTCGAATTCAAACTTAAAAGAACATGAACTTGAATAAAGTTAGAACTCGAGTTGTCTTTTTTTGAGTTTTTTGGACAGCCGAACACACCCTAAGTGTGCGTTTAATTGGTGGATTCGTGTTATAGTTTGAATTATAATTTATGACTCATTATAATATTTTTTTCATAAAAAATATACATAAATTAAAAATAATTTTAAATTATAATTCTGAATCTATAAATCAAACGCAACTTAAATAATTTTAAAAGTAAAAAAAAATAAAATAAATGTTGGTGGCTCCCAATCGACTATGTTGCGTAGCAGTAACGGAAGTACTGTTGTTAGATACTACTATAAGATTAATATCAAGCTTAAAAAATGAATAATAATTCAACTAAAAAAATACATGACTATAATTTCGTGATGGGGTAGTACTCAGCAAATGAAAATAATTAAAAAAAAAAGGCGCGTTTAGCGTTTCATTTTATTTTATTAATAAAAAGAAGAGAGTTTCTTTAATAATATGAATTTTTAACTGTTAAATTTAATTAAAATTATATTAAGTTAAAAAAAAATAAAGAACTGATAAATTTTATTATAAATTTAAACGGTTAAAAAATAAAAAGTTATTAATAATTTATCTTTATAAGGTCTATCAAAGAGATTCTCTAATGTTTGATTGGAGGATTTAAACTATGTGATTCGAACTATTTTTAATTTACGTGAATTTTTTATGAGAGAAAATACTGTAACGAATTGTGAATCATAATTCAAATCAGGAAACGAAATTCTCTACCAAACATCTTTTTTCTTTGTTATTTGCCTTCTTGGAGATTTTGACTGCGGTTTCGATAATTATAAATATATGTTCAGAGAAAAAAAGAAAAAAAGAGTATTAACAGCACGGCACATGGCTTCCATCCACGTTGCGTAGTTAGCAAGTTAGAAAACGGTTCTTATGCAGGGGAAAAAAACAAAAAAAAAAAAGGAAAGTTGGAAAACGGTTCTTTATTCAATCCAGGTCCAGCCATACGTTTGACAAGTGAAAATATCAACACCACTTCAATACAAACGCCCATGTCATGTTCATTACTCACTAATCCTCTCTAAAATATTCGTTTATTGATTAAAAATATCGTTTATTGTTGTTGTTGTTGTTGTTATTTTTTCTTTTTATTGGAGAAGCGTGCGCGGAAATCTCTCTTATTTTAAACATAAAAATAATTCGGGTGGGAATAATGGGATCCTTCATGATTCATGATGCAAAAAGCTTCTTCAACGACACTTTTATTTCAGCCATTTTTTTTAAGAGTGCAGACTACAGTTTATTAACTAATCACGTGCTAATTCATATGCACAATATTTGAGTCATGGTATATAGAAACTAAAGGGGGTACGAATAATATATTCTCTTAAAAAGAAAACATATAAGAATTATTTTCATCAAAATAAACATATAAGAATTAGATATGTTAGGGAAAATCAGTTGCAGATGAAAAAGATTATAATTTAAACGGGGAAATTCAAAAATACCTTTAGTTTAATATTACGTTTGTTTTTTTTTTTTTTTTTTTTTTTTTTTTTTTTTTTTTTTTTTTTTTCTCATGATGTTATCATACTACATGTAAAAGTTATCATCACTATTGATTGATAACCAAGTTACACAAATTGCTTCTTCTTTTTTTTTTTTTTTTTTTTTTTTTTTTTTTTTTTTTTTCTTTTTTTCTTCTCGAGTGTTTATATATTTGTATAAGAAGAGATGGTTGCACTGCATTCAGCTTTGAAGTATATTTAATCATTGAATTAAATATTTATTTAGTCCGTTTCAAAATAATAGACAAAATACCTATTGATTCAACTTCAAAAAGGGCTCTTTACACGTATAGCAAAATAATCTAAGTTTAAATATAGTAAAATATTGTAAAATATTACGATAATAGCAAAAAATGATATCATTATATTAATGACTACATTATTATATACTGCAAAATGTAATAACAACATCATTTTTTTGCTATTTTTGTAATTTTCTGAAAATTTTGATAAATTTTAATCTAATGTGTGAAATTTTGCAATGTAATGTAATCATCTTTAGTTATTATACAAAGGCAAAAACTCTTGGCCAGAGATGAAGAAATGGGTGACACGTTTTTGGTTTTAGTCTCTTTGGCTCTTGTTATGGAGAAGTTGCCGCCAAACTAGGCTGCTCGAAACAACTTGGGATGTGAAAGCTTGTCATGCCTTGATCATTGCCTGCAAAAATTTCAAGCGTGAACTAATGTAATGAAAAGCCAAAACTTTAAGCAAAATTTATCAGTGATCTTCTTATGACATAGGGAGAAATGGAGCGAGTAAGTGGGGTGGAGTGAGAGCGACGGGATGAGTGAACCAATTCATTCTGAATCTTTCTATTAAATTCATTCTGAATCTTTTTATTAATAAAAGGATTTAAGAAATCCATCAACATTATTATTATTATTTTTTAAAAACTACTTAAAACCTTCAAAAAGAGTAACTAACAATAAAAGGGTAATATAGTACTTTGAAAATTAAATATTCATTTATTTTTTCATCTCTTCCCTCCTCTTAAAAAACAACGTAAAAGATTATGTAATTCTCTTTAATATTTCTCATATTCCCTTTACATCAAACTCTCTTTATCCTTCCTACCTTTCATCCCTCCTACTAAATGGAGCACTAAGTCAGGACTAGGGCCTTCTTATGAGCCATAGATATAGTGTGATCATATAAATTAGTTTTATCTAAAATGCACACACTCATCTACTCAATCGAATCATTTTGGATTACAGGGTAATAAAGAGAAAGAATCGAGTTAACTAATAAAAGTTATGATTAATTTCATAAATTTCCCTTGGAATTTGTATCCTTTTAACATGCGCCATAAATTTTAAAAATCATGTTGTTCCATCATGAAGAATGAAAAATTGTTCAAAACATCCTCTGAACTAATATTAATTATTTAATGAATGCTTTTTAAACTATTGATTTTGTGTCAACTTGCTTCTCTTGATTAAATAACAATTTAGGGGCAAGTAACTTAAAATTAATAGTTTTGGGAGTTTTTTTTTTTTAAGTATAAGTAGTGCCACGTCATCATTTTGTTAGTTTTATAAATGTAAAGGAGTATTTTTTACTAGATTACATGATTCAGGGAGTAAAATTAATCATTTTTAAAATTTAGAGGATATATTGATATAGGATACAAAGTTCAAGGGATATTTACGTAATTAGTCATAAGAGTTACACCAAACAAATCTTTCCTCACTCAGTTTAAAGATAAAACTCTCATTTAATGATAAAGGATTGTGAATAAGGTTAGTGAATTGTTCTATGATGACCATTGACATTTTTGTACATTGTAATCATGGGATTGGTCTATTATGTTGATTTTCTTTTGCACATGATTTATAAATATTTCCGTTTATATGGTGACTTTGAGAGTGGTCTATAATGACCAAATGCTATAACGGTCATCATATTCAACAAACAAAGTTAAGACACGTTCATTTTACCGATTTGAGTTTATAATTCGAGTTTTGTTACAATAAAAAGCTTTCAGAAACAGTCACATCTAACTTTTTTACTACAGTAAAAAATTTTCACATAAAATCACATCTTAACTCAAATTAAAAACTCAAATATGTGAACTAAACGAGCCCTAATTGTGACTTTGGGATATGCCTGTGATGACCATTGTAGCTTTATTTGTTGAAATACGATGATTTTGGTAAAAGGTCTATACTGACGGAAAGGTCTTATGATGTAACTGTTTGTTTTATGCATTTAAATTCATGGTTTTGATTTTGCTACAGTATTTTTTTCATAAAAAATTTAAATTTTAAATGTTAGAATTAAGAATTATTGTTTCGAACGTATGAACTAAATGAGCCTAAAAGGTTTTTTTTTACCGACAATATCGAAACAAACTAAATAAAATGACAAAAAAAGCAGAAATCGACGCCTTTTTAATATTTTGTAAGCAACACAATATACTAATGTAATGATTTGTTAAAATACCGGTACCAACTATTCAACTAATGTGCTGTTATGGATCGGTAATTAGCTGAGGATGGATTAATCATTTACTGTTATGTTATTTCTTTTATGTTATTTTTCCTATTCACGTAGAGAGCGGAGATCCCGATGCTTGTTATTTCTGTTTTATTTTCCCTAGTCCCTAAATACGGTCATAACCGATTTGCTGAGGCCTTCGAGGAAGGGCAGGTTGATTTAAGAGACTCTGTACACAATGATTGGGTATTGATGAATTAACACTTTTTAGTATTACGAGTTTGTATTGTTCCATCTTGCGCCATTTCTGCCTGTCA